GACCGCCGAGCGCTAGCCCTCTCCTTTGACCGCCCTAAGTCGGTTCCCAAACCGACATTGCCATCCTATAAACCCAAGCTTCCCCTCCCCCTTTTTCCTTTCCTCTCCCATTCACCTCCGCGCCATTGCCGCCCCTCTGTTTCACCGTCGCCGTTTGTCGTTGCGCGTGTCGGAGGAGCCGGCACGAGCAAGGACGCGGAAGGGGACTTCGGCCGCGCTCTCTCCTTCCTCTTCCCCGGCCCGAAGCCGGAGAGATTACTCCCGCGCCGTCGGCCTCTCGTCACAGCGCCCCGACCCGCACGGTAGTGCCTCTCTCCGTTCTTCCTCCTCGCTCCATCTCCCCCCCTTAGTTTTCGGTGGTAGCACAAGTAGCCTCCCCGTAGCTAGCCGGCGCCGCCCCGACCGTTGCCGTCGCTCGCCGCGTGCTCGCCGCTCGAGCTCCGTAGCACCCGCACGTCGCCAGCCTCGCTCGGCGTAGCTCCGTCCAATCCGGCGCTAGCATCGGATTCCCGTGGTCGCGTGGATGCTCTCACCGCCGGGAATCGGCCCCTCGTGACCTCGTCGCCGTTTCCCTCTTCCCTCCCCGCCGGTTGCCGCCGCCGCGATTCGCCGCCCTCAAGCTTCCTCCGGCGAATCCGAGCCGTTGGCTCGTCTCCCCTCGTCTCGTGCAACCACCCGGTGTGCTCGCTTTCGCCGGTATCGCCGTGGTTCGCTCCGCCGCTCGCCGCTGTTGTCCGCCGTCCGTTCCGGCCGGCGTCGTCGTCTACCTCCCGCCGGCCCGCGTGGCAGCCACGTAGGCGCCACGTCGGCGCTAGCTCAGCCGAGGTCGGGACGGGCCAACCCCGGTCAGCCCCTCCCGTGCGCGCATTCCACCGCGAGCCGTGAGGCTGCGCGTGGGCCCGCCGCATCCGTTCCTCCGCAGACCGCGCGCGTGCACCGTGTCCCTCCCCCGCCCGCGCGCGTGCGCCGCGTGCTCCCTCCGCACGGTGAGCCAAGCCGCTGACAAGCGGGTCCCACCCGGGACCGCGCACGGTGAGCCCGGTCCACCGGCCCTCTCTCTCCTCCCCTCCCGCGCGCGCGCACTTGGGCCGCCTTGGGCCGGCCGGCCCATTTAGCTCGGCCGGTCCACTCCTTTTCCCTTGGACCGCGCCCTAGCCGCCCGAGGAGAAGTCTATAATCCCTCCCTCTTTCCCTTTTCTTTTCTTTTTCTTTTCCAAAAAGGATTTAATTAAATCCTTTTCCTTTAGACCAAAAATCCAATAATCTTAGAAATTCAATATCTTCCCAACCGTAAATCCGTTTGACTCCGTTCAAATTCCAAAATTTCTCAAATCTCGAGATCTATCTAATGGCACGCTTAGAGGTCATTAATAGGGCTTTATTTTTCGCCGTTTGTTGAGTTGTCCCGTTTCGCGTGTAGTTTCGGAGCCCGAAGACCCGCAGTGCGAGGATTTCGAGGATCAAGCTCCAGATCTCGAGCAAGGCAAGCCACCTTTGAACATCTTGAGCCTATATTTGAAATCTAATTATATTGCTTGCAAAATATTATGCATTGATAGGATTGCACTTAATCTGTTGTTCCGTCTGCAAGGCAGATTGGCAGACCTACCTAACTTGTTGCATTTGATCCTTCCATTGTTAATTGCTATACCATGTCCCCTTGTAACCATCCAGTTGCGCCTCGATATTCGTGCACCCTGTGCCAGTATCGACGGTCGCCTTCAAACTTAAAATCTGAGTAACAACTTGGGTAAAACTGGAGTTTTACAAAAGACTTGGAAAACCCGACACCTGGGTCGGTGCTTGCGAACTAAATGAATTTCCAAAACCGCGGACCGGGAAACGTACCGGGTGTACGGTTTCCCGCTCTCGCACTTAAGGACCGATTCCTTGGAATTTCATCCAAACATAAGTCAAGTACGACCACATGGGTGGAATGGGACACCCCTGGCTGAGTAACTAGCTTATCAGGGGAGCCTTGATGCCGAGAGACATGTGGATTCGCCGGGGTGGTGTCGGGGAGGACCCCTGGGCTTCCTGGCACAGTATGGTCTGGGACCTAACCTGTTGTTGGTCTGGGACCCCTCTCGTCGGCATATGGTAAACCTATGTCGGCTTTGGAAATGCCTTGTCATGAAAGCTTGGAGGTCTCCCGACGTGGCTGATCCCCACGGGCTGGGTGATCCGAGTTAGTAATGTCGTGTGGGTAAAGTGTACCCCCTCTGCAGAGGTTAACAAACTGTTCGAACAGCCGTGCCCACGGTTATGGGCGGATGTGAGGTGATTCCTAGCGTAGTTTGGTTTGACCACTGCTTGTGAAATTGCTGTGTGAAAAGGGGTTCGGTGTTTGAAAAATCTGCAGCTGATGGGATCAGCTAGGCCCGGGTGGCAGTTTGAAAAATTGTTGGCCCGGGTGGCCGTTTGAAAAGTTGTTGGCCCGGGTGGCCGTTGAAAAAGCTGTTGGCCGGGTGCCAACCTTGTTTAAATTCTAAAGACTGATACATTGCACATACTCCGACCGGACGAGACGCACTGTCTCATCCATGTCGTTTGAGAAGCACACATTTAGTTGTTTCAAAAAGGAGTTTAAATAAAATCAATTGCAAAAACAACAGCCCTTCCTTTGAAGCCTGCATTAAACACTTACTTCCCTTGGCTTGCTGAGTACTCCCGTACTCACCCTTGCTCTATATAAATAATCCCCCCCAGTTGCTGAAGAAGATGAAGCGGATCCTGCTGATGAGGAGTTCTTTCAGGAGCAAGCCGGCTACGATGAGTTTTAGGGTTTCGGCCTAGTTCCCAAGTCGCGCCTGTGTTGATTGGTCCAAGTCCTGGCTTCCGCTTTCCTTTTGTAATGCAGTTGTGAGCTCGGGATCTGTCCGCAGCCCAACATGACTGTACATCTACTCTATAATAAAGAGACCTCTGTTGTTGTGATATTCTGTCTCCCTGTGATACCAGCACTGTTTCCTGGGACTGGTATCGATTAACAGGTTAATTTGGAGCGTCATGGGCTAGTTCCGGTCGGGACTAGTTCGGGGCGTGACACCAATCGGGCGCCAGCACGGTCCCGTTCGCGTGGCTGCCTCCTCGCGAACCTCGCCCGCGGCGGCCGCCAGTGCCACGGCAGCGACGTTGTCTCCACTTAGCCAACGTTTCTAGACGTTGCCTGCCTTTGCGCCATGGCCGCCGCTGTGCGCGCCGGCCTCCCCTTCCACCTGCATTTCATATCCTTCCCTATCCACCTCCGCTCCCCCTCCCCCAACCCTTCTACCTCCCCGTGTGCTGCCGTGCGCGCCGACGGCCGGCCTGCCCGCGCGCTGCTGCCCACCGCTTGTCCCCGCTCCCCGTCGTGCCGTGCGTGCTGCTGACCACTGACCACGTTTGACATGTGTGTCATGTGGAAGAGAGGAAGAGGGGGTATGGCATGTGGGCCCTACTATTTTAAAAAAAATAAAATGTTGACTAGATCGCCACGTAGGACAAAACCGCTTTGGATTGGATCGAGGGAGGGGGATGGTAATTCGTCGTTTAGGGTGAGCGATGTCTAGCTTTTGAGTTCCTGAGGGGGGGTTAATTCAGTCGACCACGATAGTTTAGGGGGTAATTCTTACTTTTTTCTAAAAAAAATAGCTGCATATATTTGTTTGGCGATTCAAAATATATTTAAATACTTATGTTGCCAGAATATGTCTTCTTTTGACTGGTTATTTGTATTGTAAAATAGAGCCGTAACATTAGCACGGGTAAATTTTTAATAATTACCCACCGTACTGTAGAACTGAATAATTACACACCTACGCCGTGTTTAGTTCCAAAGTTTTCTTCAAACCTCGAACTTTTTCATCACATCAAAACGTTCCTATACACAAACTTCCAACTTTTTCATCACATCATTCCAATTTCAATTAAACTTCCAATTTTTGTGTGAACTAAACACAGCCCTAAACTCTGGAAACCAAGTGAGGTTGTACACTCCGTATTAGCTAGGACTTGTTTGGCAAAAATGAAACAAATCCCACATTTTGCTGATGTTTTTGCTCCCACGCCATTATTTTTTTCCTTCATCATCATTCGCGTCACAGAAGACCCCAATATACATGACCTCTCCATTGCTCTCTGACTATCATCAAAATGAAGACTCCATCCGCCGCTTCACACCTGCCAATATCAATGTACTGCAGACCCCTTCTAGTATTGCTTCTTTCCTGTGAAAGAGTTTTTTTTTTTTTTGAGAGAGAGTTGTGGCAGAGAATAATGCTGGGGGATTTTCTTTGAAAACAGATAAGCAGGCAGAAGTAAGTAAATGCAACCCCCAACTGCGCAAACCTAACAATCAATAGAAACCGTTGCCTGATGTGATAATACCTGTACTCTCTTCTTGACCAGTCTTCATTTTGGGAGATTAGCTACCTGTCTACCTCTCCCTCCTTCAGTCCAACTTTTTCCGCAAGCATCAAAGCTCTAGTCCCCGCAGGTTTTGTGCTGTGCTTTCCCCTCCTTTCATGCCTCAAAGCATCAGTGGGAAAGGCACTCCGAGAATGTCACACGGTTGCATATGAAACATTGTACTTTTAAGACTTTTAAGTCGTATTACTTTTAAGTCTTTTTTTAAGACTTGCAACTTTTAAGGCGTCTCGGAACAGAAAGACAATCTACTGATGAAGTTGTTTAGTTTATTATCATAGTTTACCACGCTATATGTTATACAAGCCATGTTTTATTAGGTAAGTGTTTGATTGGTTGTTAGCCACACTTTATTAATCCACTAGCCCACATGTCATAAGTTTATTTTTTAGCCGCATCTTACCACACTTGATCACACTTTTTGTGTGTTACATACTTTTATCAAGTTGGGTTCTGACAAAATTTTAGTATCCAACCAAACAGCCCCAATTTTAACAAGTCCCAGCCCACCTTATAGCCGGTTGGATGTCCATTCGAAAAATGATGAATAATTCGTCAGTCACAACAGTTTCATTCGGTCCACCACCACAAGTTCCACAAAAGTATAAAAACAACAATTAACAGTGTACAATAATTACATACATGCACCGCTGCGGCGAATACAACCATACAAGCGCGCGAATACAACTATAAGTAGGGGCGCGGGGTGCCAGCCAACCGCTGCGGCTGTGCAAAAGTCCTCTTGCTCGTGTTGTAGTTGTGTTGCGTTCGCGTAGAAGTGGGTCGATCTCTTGAACATCAGCAAAGATGGCCGCCACCACGCCGGCAGCGGCAGCGGCCGCGGCGCACGTCGTCCACATCGAGGCCGTGCAGACGGCGGTGCCGACGCGCGTCGTGGAGCCCGGGAGGACGCGCCTCGTCGCCGTGGCGGCGCCGCCGCTCCCGGCGCCCGCGCTGCAGCGCCGCGTCCGCGCGGTGCTCTACTACCGCGGCGCCGGCGGGGCGGCGCCGGGCGCGTGGGAGGACGGGGTGTGGGTGAAGGAGTCGCTGAGCGAGGCGCTGGCCGACCACCCGGAGATGGCCGGCCGGCTCCGCCGCCGCGCCGACGGGTCGTGGGAGGTGAAGCTGAACGACACCGGCGTGCGCCTCCTCCAGGCGACGGTGGACGCGACCCTCGACGAGTTCCTCGCCGGCAAGGGCGCCCTGGCGCGCCGGGAGGCCGCGCTGGCGCCGTGGACCGACGTGAACGCCGACGACCCCGACATGTGCCCCCCGTTCTTCATGCAGGTGAGCGCGCATATGCATGCATCAAAAACCACCAACCCATCGCATCATCCAAACAAGCATGAATATAATAGCTTAATCATGCATCCATCATGCGATCGGGATCCGTGGCGTGGCGGTAAACAGAGCTAGCCCACTGATGGCATGATCGATCTCTCGAGTTCTTTTTCTACTTCGAATTGTGGAATACTCGTTCGATCGAATCTAATGTTGTTCGTCGTCGTTGTCGCGCCCATCCATGATATGGTGGTAGACGTACTTGTCGCCTCACAGGCAGGTGGGCCCATCATAATCAAACGCCTATCTGTCCATCTGTTGGTCACTAGCATGACAATGATATGACTTATAAGGACTTATAATTGTCCATCAAGCGTTAACCATATCGTCCGACGTCGATCCATATCCGAGCTTAGATGCCACATGAAAAAAGTAGTTTTGGGTCGTCATTCGTCGTCGTCCGAAACCTGATGGCCTTTGCCGATCGATAGGAAGAAGGAAATAAAAAACTAGTTTCAATGATGTGAATTAGTTTCACACCAAAATTTCTCACGACTGGCACACAGGAATTTCCCAAGCTCCAGTTAGGAATTGAGCGGTTTCCTACGAAGTAGTTAATGCAAGATTCGTACGAGGTTGTGTTCTGCTGTAGCTCATCTCTTCTACTTATAAATCGCCGTTGTTATCATTCTGTCATCTTTCCTTCCATATCTCCCATGTTATCTTCTTAACCTTCGTTGAAGGTCGTGTGCTCTTTTGTATGCGCGTAACCAGGGGCGGATCTAGGAACAAAAATTTGAGGGGCTCAATTACACAGTTTATTCAACCTCCAGCCATCTAAGGATCTTTAGTTTATCATTCATGGTGAAAAAATTGAAGGAGGTGCTCCGGAGACATCTATGGGTCTTGTGGTGTAGGGGGGACTCGAGTCCAATCCCCCTGCACCCACGTTGGATCCGCCCCTGCGCGTAACTATCATAAGATTCAGTATCTTCTCAATTCACCAATCCAGCCAATTTTCAATATATGGGTCTAACCCATCTTTTATATATCCTTAATCCATCCATCCAACCAATTTTTAATTATATGGGTTCATTTTGTTATAAAGCTCGTATATTATAAGTTTAGGGACAGGAAATCCACTATTCTTAGTCTGAGCCCTCCGTCTAAACACTATTGCTACGTACTAGTACGTACTGTATTTTCGGTGCCTAGTTAAATGCGTGTACGTCCATGGAGTTTATGGGGTTGGATACTCGAATGCGTCTCACCCATCCGGCCTGCTGCTTTGATGCTGCTTGCTGGAAAGGTGTAGTCAGTTTCGCCGTTAGGCATTCGGTTGCAAGATAGTACTAGTAGTGGAGTACACCTCCAGATAGATAGACCCGCTGGCTGTTTGCACGAGACACTTGCAACCTTCAAGGGAGTCTCTCAGGTGTTTGACATGTACGGATCGAGTAACTTTAGATCGAAGTATGTGAAGTACGCACCGATCATGCGAATAAATGCACGTATCCAATACGACCGAGACGCGTAACCGACCACGTTAAATGTGATTTTTTAAACCTTTTTTAAATTCTAATTTTTCAAAATTTGAACCTTCTACGTGAGGCCACGCCAGCTCACATAACTTGGTAAAATAACACTGCCACATCACCTATAGCAGGCGTGACCGATTTGTACTGACATGCTAGCTAGAGTGGTGTGGCAGGATAATACTTCGACAATCATATCAACATGCTCAAATAATGATGTAATACCAGTCAACCTGACGTGGTAGTTATTGTTTTACCATGTCAGCCAAGCATGACATGTTAGTTCAGCTGGCGTGGCCATACGGTTTTGATTTTGAAAAATATGTTTAGGAAAGGTTTATTCTAAAATGAAGAATGTTCAATAATAAATTTTAAAAAGATCTTAAATGTGCCGCACAACATGTGTCATCCGTTCGTTCGATCAGCAGCACGCCACAGCACGAGCTCCATGCCTTTTCATGGGGCATGGGCGCACGCGGCGGCAGCAGCACGCCACAGTACGAGCTCCATGTGTACATGAGATCATTTAGGTGGTATGGTACTGGTATGTGCACTGCTCTGATCTTGATGCGCGTACATGTTCGTCTGCTTTGATGTGTGCGCAGCTGACACGGTTCCAGGGAGACGGCGGGTACGCCGTCGGCGTGAGCTGCGCGCTGGTGCTGGCCGACCCGCTGACGCTGGCGAGGTTCCTCCTGTCGTGGGCGCGCACGCACGCCCGCATCAGGGCGCAGGGCAAGGCCACCCCGCTCCCGATGGCGCAGTACCTCGCCTACTTCCAGCGCCCGGAGACCACCCGCAAGCGCGTCAGGTCCGTCCCGATCGACTCCTTCGCCGGCGACGGCGACGGCGACGCCGAGACCGTGCTCTTCAGGGCCGGTACTGCAGCGGCAGCGGCGGCGGACGGCGGGCACGGTGATCACCGCGCGCTCGCGGCGGCCTGCGTCGACAAGGCGAGCGAGGCGCTCGGCAAGAAGGACAAGGTGTCGAGGCTCTCGGTCGTCGTCGTCGACGCCGCCGGCGGGGACGATTCCCTGGCCGGAAAGACTACCATCGAGACGTGCACGGCGTCGCCCGGTGGTGGCGCCGCCGCCGGCGGCGCCTCGCTGGAAGCGGTGCAGTGGAGCGAGCTGGGGCTGGAGGAGCTGGTGCTCAGGGGCAGCAAGCCCGTGCATGTCTCCTGCAGCATCGTGACCGGCGGTGGCGGAGACGAAGGGCTCGTCGTCGTGATGCCCGACGACGGCGCTGGGTCGTTGCTTGTCATGGCCACTCTCCCCAAGTAGAAGAAGAAGCAGATGTGTATGTTGATGACAATCGTAAAATAACATAGTATTTTCTTCATGTCATAAAAACCAATCTAGTATTGGATGAAACTATTAGATTGGTTTTTATGGGATGGAGCGAGTACACATTATTGTTATGTATGACTACGACTGTTGCAATGAGAGAAATTTCAGAGATTGTACTCGTCAAGATCGAAAACCAATGTAATGTAAACCTTCCTTTTTTTTTCTTGGCGGGATAATGTAAACCTATTTAAATCCTGAGCATGATCTGTTGTGTACTCTTGAAGGATGAATAAAACGGGAAAAAAAATCTTTGTATTTGACTATAGCACAGTTTGAAATGTTCAGAAGAAAAAAAAACTGCACGTTCCCTGAAAGTGCACTCATGGAATGAACAACAAACAGCCAACATCATAAATACTTCCGAGTGACCGAGTTTAAAATGGAGACAATCTCTTTACGACCTAAGTGCGTGCACGTACACTCATCTTTTTCAAGTCATTCAAATAATGTAATGTTTTTTTCAGAAAAGAAAAGGTACACTACTACGAAAAAATTTACGCCGGCGGCAAAAAGTGGTATGTGCTGGCGGCTGAGCAGCCCGCCAATAAGTAAAGGCCAGAGAAAATCATTGCTTTTCACAAGCGGTCATAAAACCGCCTGCGAAAACCAATTTTCGCAAGCGCGTTCTTAAGAGGGCCAACGATATTGTCGATCCTGCAGAAAAAAAAATGTTCCCAGCATCACCCATTGCCTCATCGCAAGAACAGCAGCTGCTGAACCCAACCAGCTGCGGAGGTTGCCGTCGTCGTCCTTGAAGTGGCCGGTGAGAACCACCACCGCCGGATCCGCCTTGACGCCGCCGCTACCGAGCCCCGCCGCAGCCTCCGCCTCGACGACGCCACTGCCATCGCTCCCCGCGCGCCAGATCTGAGAGAGGGAGAGGGGGTGGTGGCGGCGGGGGAAGGGGAGGGGGGACTCTGAGAGAGGAAGAGGAGGTGGGACTAGGCGGCGGCGGATGGAGTCACCGCTGCCAGATCCGCAGCCCTCACGCCTCCTCGTCGCCAGATCCGCCGGGAGAAAAGCGCTGCCGCCGAGCCACCCCCTCCCCCGCCGCCCTGTGACGCCGGCCGAATGGAGAGAGAGAGAGAGAGAGAGAGAGAGAGAGAGAGAGAGAGAGAGGGAGAGGAGCTGGGACTAGGCGGCGGCGCCCCCCGTCGCAGTCGCCATCGTCGCGCCCCACGACGACCGCCTCCCTTCGCCGCGGCCCCCGTCGCCATCCCGTCGCAGTCGCCATCGTCGCGCCCCCCGACGTCCGCCTCCCTTCGTCGCGGCCGTGCCACCGAACAGCTTGGGAGGAGGAGAGGATGTGGATCTGGAGAGAGGAGGCCACGAGGGAGGGAGGAGGAGGGATAAGGATGGGTAGGTGTGGTGGGTGGTGATTTTTAATGGGCTGAGATATTTTAGCGCGTGATTTTTTTTTAAGAGTGATGCTCTTCAGTACGGCCAGCGAAAATCCGATTTTTTTTCGCTGGCGGTAGATTAAGAGCCCCGCCAATAAAAATAGAATTATTTATGTAAGCGGACTTCTTACCCTACCGCCAATAAAAATATGTTTTTTTTTTGCTGTGGGACCCTTAAGAGATCGTCCTCTAAAAATAGAGTTATTTTTTATAGCGGACATCTTAGCGTGGCCGCCAGCGAAAATCGGTTTTCGCTGGCAGTCCGTAGCCCCCCACCCCTCGTTATGTTTTTGCTGGCGGAATATGCGTTAGCCGCTAGCGAAAATTATAAGGTAACACCATAAAAAATCATTTTTTAGTAGTGGTAATAACACATATTACAAATTTACAACGCCGTACATCACTTCACAAACATTAGAACAATATAAGTAAGAACTTTTGAGATTGGATACAAGCATTAAGAAACCAGATGAAATTAAATAGAGAAATATTTTGATTAATTGAGAAAAACAAGGGGATGAAAAAATTTAGGTGAAGAAAATGTTATAATTTTGGAAAAAAAATTAATGTTAAAAGTTGTAATATTTTAGGACGGAGTAAATACCTATTTTTTTCTATTTACTTTCTTATTGTGTACATATAATTTTTTTAAACAACCCGCACAATTGTGTACATATAATTTGGGATTGAAAACTTACAAGGTGCTGGATATTTTAGAATTTCTGTAACCATTTAATTGGTATTTAAGGGAAGAGAAACAAACTGATCGAGCGTGTATGCACTCGAGTTGTAAAAATCAAACTCAGTTTATAATGAACCAAGGTTGTAAAATTGTTTGTCCTCAGAGTTGAATTCAACTGTTCATGAAAATCTGCTAGTTAGTACAGACTAATTTGTACTTTTTTTTCCGATTATACGGTAGACGTATACACACACAACACAATACTCACACCCCCACAAATACATCATTTTAACACACTCTCTAAGACACGAAAACTAACATCATATCACTGACCTCATCAAAATCCCGTTAGAAGTCTACTTGTATATGCGTAATATCCGTAGATACTATGATTTGAACTTTGGTAGGTATAGTGCACCAGTAGTGCTTCCCCTAATTACTCCAAAATTGATCAAGGAAATTGTCGGCAATTCGATTTGTAAATGAGGCCTGGTCGTTTAGTTTTTAACTTTTTTTTTAAACTTCAAATTTTTCTATCACATCGAAACTTTTCTACACACATAAACTTCCAACTTTTCCATCACATCGTTCTAATTTTAATTAAACTTCCAATTTTAACGTAAACTAAACACACCCTGAATGTTGTTTTCGCTGGGCCAACAAAAGTTCGCCGGCCGGCCAATTTATTAAGCGAGACCAGGAGAGAAGAAGCAGGGTGTATTGTTGGGAATATATCGGTTATCAACTTGATACTAACACAAAAAGATCCCATTATAACCGTAAATCAAATACTCCCTCCTTCATTTTAAATATATTTGACCGTTCATTTTATTCAAAAACTTTTGTGATATGTGTAAAACTATATGTATACATAAAAGTATATTTAACAATAAATTAAATGATAGAAAAAGAATTAACAATTACTTAAATTTTTTTAATAAGACGAACGGTCAAACATTTTTAAAAATATCAACGGCGTCAAACATTTTGGGACGGAGGTAGAACACAACACTTATCCGGTCAAAGGTCAAACAGAGGGAAAGCACAGAGAGCGGATCATCCAAGGACTGGCGAGACGTTAGCAGTGAAACGAAACATTTTTACGACTCATTTGAAACATGGGAATTTTGTACGTAGAATTTTCGCATGAATTAATTCTTCTCCTTTAAAATGTTAAAAAGTTTCCTCCATTCTATAATCTGAAGGATGCCTAGACGTATCATGCATATGATCAAGCAATTGTTCGATTAATCAAATTATCTGCTGATAATCGTTAAGTTTGATGATTTCTGATGACCCATGGTCACCTAGCGGCTAGCAGTACCATGCATGATCACCCTCCACAAAGAAATGGTACAGTACTACCTCCATCCCAAAATAAGTGCAGCCATGTATATTCGTGCCCAACGTTTGACCGTCCGTCTTATTTAAAAAAATTATGAAAAATTTAAAAATATTTAGTTACACATAAAGTACTATTCATGTTTTATCATCTAATAGTAACAAAAAATACTAATTATAAAAAATTTTCAAATAAGATGAACGGTTAAACGTTGAACATGAATAGTGAAAAACTTATTTTGAAACGGAGGGAGTACGAAGTAACTCCGGAACTACATATAGGGCAATTATTGCCCTATGTATGCATATAGTCAATCAATTAACTGCCGACAATGGAAAAGCTAATCAATCAATCAATGGTTTGATTAATCAAATTAAGCCAGGTCAGTCCGTCAGTGTACATTCACTAATTAAATTAACAGGTTTGTTCAACGGTTCAACCAACATCTGCCATCAACATCTTTTCGTTGCACCTTTCTTGACTCTTTATGCTATTTTGCTAAAAAAAAACTTCTCTTTACATCACTTATAACAATATATATTTCTGCTTTAATTTGTAATCTTTTTTTTTTCTGCGTTGCAACGGAAATCACGAGCGATATATGGTGAAGACTGATGATAATCGTATTTCTGATGACCCATGATTCCGCGGCGTACCATCTGTTCTGTCAACTAAAAAGTGGAGTAGTTCCTTGACGGAAGAAGGGAGCAAAATAGAAGATATTCTCAGTTGATCTGCAGTTGTTGTTAGGTCACTATATTCAGAAATCGCAGTTGCTGTTGTTTAAATTGTGTGTGACAGCAGACAGCTAATTATCAGTACACGTATATGAGCAATACTAGTGAATCTGTACTAATTTAACGAGAGTATTTTCTATATACAAATACAACAGCTAAACTGTGCCACTGGCGCCGAATACGTACGGACAGAGCTCAGGCAATCAGGGGAGCAGCAAAAGAGGAGAGAGTTGGTGCCAAGCACAACTAAACCCAACTGCACCCAAAAACTAATCAGCATTTCAGTTCGCTTTAGTTAGTACTACCACCTGCATCTCTTTACCAACACTATATAACCCGCAGTGGACCTGCAGTCATCTCACTAATTCAGTGAAGCCACCAGTACTAGTACGGCTCTAATCAGTTCGCGTTTGCTAATTAACTCTGCCATCATGGCTGGAGTACATGGACTTGCAGCTGCAGGTCTGGTGGTGCTACTCCTCGCCGCCGTTGCGCCGGCTTTCGCCGTGGACTACACCGTCGGCGACACATCCGGCTGGAGCAGTGGCGTGGACTACGATACCTGGGCGAAGAGCAAAACCTTCAGCGTTGGTGACTCGCTCGGTAAAGTTACATTACTACTCTAGATAAGCTTAATACTACTAACCAACAATACTTTCAGTATCAAGTAGTACGAAACAGTTGTTGTTAATGATCGACGTGCCGTCTACCAACAATGCTAGACGATCGATGTTACGGGACGGTTTCGTTTGAGGCCTAAATTGGCCTTACCAATATTTGATAATTTCAACAGTGTTCAGTGTCTATTTGGTTTGAAGTCAAATTTTGACATGCCTAAGAAAATATGTCATTTCAATAGTTAACATAGGCTATTTTGGTTTCAATCCAAACACAACTTTGCCTTGTCAAAATTAGCCATGACAAAACTTGCTAAAATTTGGCATCGATAAAAATTGGTAAGGCCAATTTAGATCACAAACCAAACCAGCCCTTCATGTTGCTCTGGACCACAAATTTGGTTTGTCCAGAGCTATAGTAGCGGTAGTACTGTGTAGTAGTGTATCACTATCGGCTTGCGAGGCAAAAACTGCCAGCCTGGCAATATTCTATGTTTATTACAAAATTTAATTAAACTTTTGAAACTTTACGATAATAGAGTACTTCTGATATGTTTAAGTTTTTTTAAGAGAAAATTGGTAGATAAATTTACTTTGAAAAGTAGTACTACTGTATCCTCCGTTACAAAATATAAGCATTTTTAAGTTTAGCACATGTGTTAGGATAGCAGGTGAAATTAATTGGAGGAAGTGTGTGATTGGTCGATGAGAGAAAATATGTGAAAAAAATGATTGCGATTGGTTGAAATGAGTAGGTGAAAAAATAACTACATTTTATGATATATTCTAAGAATAGGGCAGTACTATCATAGCATCGTAAACTTAATGCACAAAAGTTTAAAAGCGTTAAATGTGTACTATGACAGAAGAGGGGTACTGTACGTGGGAACATAACTCCACCCATTTCTGGTTACCTATAAATTGACGCTTGATAGATGACCAGTGCAAGCTGGTCCTCTCTGTGCCCAAACTAAACGTGACACTGACACGCACGTTTTGCCGTGGTGTGTGGCTATGTGCAGTGTTCCAGTACAGCATGATGCACACGGTGGCGGAGGTGAGCTCGGCTGACTACAGCGCGTGCTCCGCCAGCAACTCGATCCAGTCCTACAGCGACCAGAACACCAAGATCGCGCTCACCAAGCCCGGCACCCGCTACTTCATCTGCGGCACCAGCGGCCACTGCTCCGGCGGCATGAAGCTCGCCGTCACGGTCTCCGCGGCGGCCGCCACCACCCCCACCCCGACGGCGTCGTCGTCCCCGCCGTCCACCGCGACGCCCGCCACGCCGTCATCGGACCCCGGCATGGACACGCCCTCGTCGACGCCGGACGCGACCACGACGCCGACGACGACGACGACGAAGTCGACGGGCAGCACCGGCGGGGCCAGCGGCAGCGAGGCCCGTTCGGTGATGGGCCTGCTGGTCGGGGCCGTCGGCCTCGCCATGATGGGCTAGGCTAGGCAAGAGGCAGTGCTGCTCATCTTCATCCAGTTCGGCTATTATTTCTCCGCGACGTTTAATTTTTCCTTATTAGTTTACGCGCTCCGTGAACTCGTCTTTGTATTGTACTACTACGACCGCGATTTCGTATTGGAACTTTGATTACTCCCTTTGCAAAAATACTCCGTAATATTAGCACTATTTGATGGTGACCCTGACCCCGTGCGAGTGCTGCTTATCAACGAGTGCGCATACGGCATACGGTGATACGAATATCGGTGCACCGCACGTACTTGTCTACGTGCATAGCATCGAATCGCACGCACGATCGCATAGCCATCATCCGTTGGGCGGGTGAATGCGTAGATCGTGGGCTTCGTGGCCCGACGCGTGAGGAAGGACTGGTGGATTTTTGGCCCATGGGCGTGTGAACGAGATGGTCTGATTCCAAGCCCGTTTCTGCAACCATGTGGTAGGCTGGTGGAATAAGTTCATATTAGGTTCCTTAACTTTGACAGCAAGTTCGATTTTCATCCCTTAACCGCAATACCACCTCAACTATTAAAACCGATTCATATGAGATACCTTAGTGGTTTAGATGGCGGTTTTGGCTAATGTGGCGCCTCCGTGGATCCTTTTGACTAGGTCTTCGTCCCACGTGGCGCTTAAGTGACAATTTTATCTGGAAATATAATAAAACCCGTGGGGCCCACATGTTAGTCACACACAAAATAATAAAAATGGTGGGGCCATTTGGCCCCACATGTCATCCTTATTCTCTCTATCCTCTCTCTCTCTCACCTAGACGCCGTAGGGCGGCCGGAGCAGGTGACGACCGAGGCGGGGCGAAGCGGCCGGCCCGCGAAGCATGACGGACGACTGCCGGAGCAAGCTGGCACATGCGTAGGGCAAGGCAGCGGAGGACAACTATAACAACGCTGACGCCGCAGGCGACGCAGAGTCGAGGTTCGTTGACCCGAATAGAGTGGAGGAGGTGACCCTGCCGTTGACGCTGCTGCCGTCGAGGCCGTGTTGGGTGAGGCCATCGTCCGTTGTACTCCTCCCGCGCCGTTGTCGCTGCCCTGGGAGCAGTCCTTGGCCATGTGGGCCTCCTTGCCGCACTTGTAGCACGCACGGTCACCTCCTCCGCCGCCTCCGTAGCCGCGGTCCTCGCAGCCGCTAGGAAGGGATCCGTCGGTGAGCGCGACGCCGCCTGGCACGGTGACGTCCACGGCCTTGATGCGGCTAAGGTCGTCGTCACCGACAGCGGCGCCCTTGCTTGCTCTTGTAAGCGGTGCTACAGGTGGAATAAGAGCTGCTCGAGAAGAAGCTGTAGCTTGGCGGTGTTGTACGACTGGATGAACTACGCATCGATGTTGTGTTTTGCCTGCCGTTGATCGTAACTTTGCACGCCACCACCGCTGCCAAGCAACCATCGCTTTCTTCCATCTCAAGTCTTTGTCGTCGTGTCCTCATCGGCGACTTCCACCGCAACCACCACTCGTAGATACAGACAGCCGCGGCCCCCTCCTCGCTGGCCATCCCGCTCGAACGCGACGGTGGCCGCCGCCGCCAAGGTCATTGAGGTAGGAGGCTGAAGAGGATGGCGTCACTCTTGGCCCTGCCAACGGTCGCAACATCGCGCAAAGGAGGTTATGGAGCGCTGCCCCTGGCCCCGCTGTCTGCCCGCACTGACATGAGGGAGAGAGGAGGTGCTGACTCACTGTGGAGATAGAGAGGAGTGACAAGTCGGTCCCATTGTTTTTTCCGACTGGTATATGGGCCTCACATTTTTAAAAAATCTTTTAAATTTTTAAATTTTGCTTTCAGTGCCACATCACGCTACGTAGGACGAGGACCAAGTCAAACCAGCCACATAAGCCCCCAAAACCTCCATCTAAACCACCGAAGGATCTCATCTGAACTAGTTTTGATAGTTAAGGGACCTATCATATCTGCTATTGTGTTTAAGGGACAAAAATAGAACTCGTCGTCAAGTTAAGTAACCTCAAATGAACTTATTCATAGGCTGGTAGCCCACATAGCCAACGCCAATTTTTGGCCCGTCCAATGTTGTAATGCGAGAAACATGGAGAACCCGCATCAGCCGAAAAGGCTAAAAAAGCGGTCCCAGCCGCGCGCACTGAGGCGGATCGACCACGCGCTGGCGGCCGCGCTCGATCAATCGCGTATTAGGGCTGCCCACATCAGCGAATCAGCGATACAAGACAGAGGACAGGGATTCGTTTACAGCAATAGTCCCGATATGAGCATTTTGACCTTAAGAGATGTGTTCGTTTGTGGGGTTAAGAATCATTTCCTCCTAACACATTAAATAGAATTAATTAAGTGCTATTAAGGAATCTTGAAAAGGAATAATATAATTTTAAAGCAACCATATATTTATTTTTTAAAGAAAAAAAACATTCTTATAATTTGAAAAACGTGTGCGTGAAAAATAAGATACTCCCCCATCCTATAATATAGCAACCTAGGACCAGACGAGACACTTTATAGTACAACGAATCTTCATGTCCAGATTCGTTGTACTATGAAGTGTCTCGTCCGGTTTTAGATTACTATATTATGGGACGGAGGGAGTAGTATAAGTTCAGAAAATACAGTAATTGTATAGAACACAACCTTAACTAGAGTCCAGACTCCCCAAGAACGTTGTATGAGTTCGTTAGCATTTAGCTGCGCCATGAGCACTGTGTAGGTACTAGTTTTGATCAGTTTTCTTGGATCGCATGCACCGTACATGAATACCCAGTATGCCCGTCGATCTCATAAAGTCATAACGTACAGACAGCAAAGTATTCATGGTAGTGTAGTACGTATACGCTGTATGCTACGAACCCAGACTTCACATGATGGGTATAACTCACTCACGTGTTGGCGGTGTTCTAGCTAGGAGTTATTTACCTGGCACTTACCTGTGAATTTAATTGGCCACCTGCAGTTTCTGTCCGGTCGATCCATCATCTAGTACTATCGCTCTCTTGGAATTCAGTGTTCAACCAAGGTTGGCAACCCGGATTTCTACAATTATATGCCGGCCCCGTTGCTGCAGCCAACAGATTAGATCTGTGTAGTCTCGTTTGGAGATCGAGCACACGGGCAAAACTTTACCGTCTCTGCTCCGGTGAGCAACGAGCCAACGACTCGACTAGGCGTTACTCAGCAGCATTCATTCATCAAACCAAGCTAAATTAATTAATACTCCTAGCAGTAGAAGAACATTGATCTTTGCAGGTTCCAGCCCAGTTGTGGGTATTCTCATTTTTTCCCGGCGCGCGCTCTGCTCTGCGCCTCTGCGTGCTTTAATTTTGGCCCACACGCACGCAGCCAGCATTACATGCTGTCTACCGGATGTTCATCCGGAGGATGGCCCTCGTAACCACATCTTGTTCCCTATTTATGTGCAAAATCATGGCCGTGAAACGAGGCGCGCAAGTGTGGAGCCTTTTTCATGCGGTGAAAAAAAATTTGACAGATTTGACGCGGATATGCGCCTGCGTGTATCGGTTTCTTGTGATTGGAGAAAGAATAATCTCAATCCCATGCCGATCTGTCGCTTCAGCACCTGGCCGGTGATAAAATTACTACTCACCAAGTCATCAGTGATTGTAAAACCAAATTATGATGAGCTGTGATCGATCGATCCAAATTACTTTACTAGCATGCCTTGCGTGAAAGCTACTCTTGACAGCTCCGACAAGCCGCCCATGGCGTGTCGCTCCGATCGTCTCCACTCGCGGCCTCCTGGGCCGCCGGAGGACGGCGCTGTACTTGATCGATGTACCCAACAGCGCTGTGCCTCGCCTTTAATCATCGTTTCTGAGTTGGTGCGTGGCGGTCTACTAGCTCACACTCCCCCGTCCCAATATAAATTCACCTATGATTAGACGTGACATTTTATATACTCCCATTTCAGGTTACAACACGTCTTGATTTTGGTCAAAATCAAACTACTTTAAATTTAACTATTTTTATAGAAAAAAAGTAATATTTACAACATCAGCATAGTTTCATTAAATCTAATAGAATAAATTTTCATAATATTAGTCTTGGGTTAAAAATATTACTATTTTGTTTACAAAATCAGTCAAACTTAAAGTAGTTTGACTTTGAGCAAAGTCAAAACGTCATTAATCTTAAACGGAGAAAGTATAATATTACAACGAATTTAGATATTATATCTAGTCCTAGGTACAATTTATATTGGGACAAGGAGAATACCACCTAGCGAGCTTCACCAGACGATCGGCCGGGGTCCATCGATCACCCATCGTCTCTCCTCCCCCTTCTCATTTCCATTTCGCAAATCATTCGCGATGATGGGGGATGAGATGACCCCTCCAAGCTCTCGCCATCGCCAAGTCGCCACCTACCGTGCGTGTTGCTCCGATCTGCATCCGGGGTCGCGACTCGCGAGGGCCTCGAGCCCTTTTTTTTCCGAAGGCATTTGGTACTACGCATCATTGGCAGCAAAAGCAGTACTACATCAGTAGTATATGCGTGCCGGTGGATCATGGATGGGTCTCGCTGCTTAATTTACTCCGTGATTGGTACGAGCAGGGGCTCCTCCTGAGCTTGATTGGTGTTCGGTGAGAGGGGTTTCTACTTTCTAACAGTAACAAGGTCATCACACCGCACATGATTTTCTCTGTAAATTAGCTACGGACTACAGTGTGTGGACTGTGGAGTTCTGTAATGCACGATAGAAATAATGCTGTGTACTGCTTCAATTCGAAAAGATTGTTTTGGAATCGATCAGAGCAGATCCCTGATCGATCTAGTGATCTCTCACCGCGGTACAACCATATAAAGAAGCACATCGTGGTACAAATGGTACAAAACTGAACAACCCTGCTTTTGAATTGAGCTTGTACTAATTTAACTACTCGGTGGTGTACAATTCAATGGGTGATCAATGACTCTACCGCCTCTTGATTATGGCGTGCCACCGTATCTGCGTAGTCTGTCACTTGGCAAGTTTTGGAGTACTGCAGTGCTGTAGTACTAAAGCAAAAATCAATGCAACATTTTAAAATTTTGGAAAATCTGGATAAAATTAAAAGTAGCATTTTCTTTGTTTAAACTTTTCTGAAAATAAATGTGCCTCTTTGTTCGATTAGAAGCTTACAAACAAAACAATGTTACTTGATGCATTCCTAGTTTCACACCAAAGGCAGGCCTCTTGCAACTTGCAAGACTATTTTTACAGAACCAGTTCACTTCGGAACGTAGGAGTTTTGTGTGATTTTACTATGTGAAAATTGAAAAAAAAATTTAAAAAAACTAATTCGGTTGGTAGCCACAAATTCAGCAGCCTAGATCTACTGGACAGCCGATGGGCCTCTCAAGTGTCAATTTGATCAAAAGAGAAGGGCCCAACTAAACACTGTCCCCTCTTTTAAAAAAAATCAGACAAATGTTCCAAATCATTCCATCAAAGAAAGAAAAAAAAATCGCTTTCCGCCAGCTTTTTGTGTACTAGTGCAACACATGGCCCTTTCTTTTCCCTCTTTTTTCTGCTTAGGTGCAGCCGTGCAGGGGAAAATCTCACGCGCGATCTAAAGCGTCCGTGCTTTTCTTTTACAGTTGCACATGGATAGTTGATGGTCTGGTCGCGTCAGTCGTCTCAAATGCGCCCTGACATCTTGATCCCTCTCCACACAGCCACACAGGACAGTTTGACATGTACCCCATAATTACACAGTTAAAATGCTGAGTAAAAAAAGAGAGCATGGAACAGTATGACAGTAATTAGTAATTGAGCATGGAGCGCAGTAGATGAGCTGCATGGAGATTTTTTATTCAACTGCCACCGAAAATGATACACCAAAAATATACACAAATCTTCCCTCTATAGAACCAAAAAAAAGTAGTAATTAACGTACATAGCGAGCTGACACCAAGAGATCTTTCACTAACCATCATCACCAACCACCCGCTGATCACCAGAAGAAATGCGGACTGACAACCAATGCATCGTACATCAAGAATCGATCGATCGATCATACCACCGGTAAAAATTTAAATAACAAACACGAAAGAAAAAAATTTAAAAACAAAGAAGAAGAAGAAAAAAAATTAAAGAAAGAAGCGAGCTGAAGCGTGGCCGTGCCGCCGCGCACAGCTAGCTGTGGTACAGGAGGAAGGAAAGCAACAGCGACACTACTCGAAGGCTCAAAGCAAGATGGCGCCCGCCAATGCCACGAGCGCGGCGACGCCGGCCGCGCGCGCGGTCGTCGTGGCGCCGGAGTTGTCGGTCGTCGGGGTGGCGGTGGGGGAGAGCGACGGCGAGGGTGTGGCCGCGGTGGGGGCGGGCGTCTTGGGGCTGATCGGGGAGACGGTCGGCGCCGTGGTGGGGGCGACCGTCGGGGCGGTGGACGGGGTGGGCGCGGGCGCCAGCGCCGGCGGAGGCGTCGCCGGGGGAGGAGGCGTGGCGGGAGGAGGCGCCAGGGGCGGGGACGGGGGCGGGGTGGCGGGAGCGGGCGGGGGCGTCGCCGGGGGAGACGGCGGCGGGGTGGCGGGGGCCGGAGGAGGCTGCGACGGCGGCGACGGGGGTGGCGTGGTGGGAGCGGGCGGGGGCGTCGCCGGGGGAGACGGCGGCGGGGTGGTGGGCGCCGGGGGTGGCGTGGTCGGTGCCGGAGGCGGCGTGGTGGGAGCCGGAGGAGGGGTGGTCGGCGCCGGCGGTGCAGGGGGAGGCGTGGTCGGTGACGGGGGCGTCGGCGGCGGGGTATTGGACGGCGGCGCGTTGGGAGCCGGCGGCGACTGCGTCGGTGGCTGCTGCGCGGCGGCGGAGGCGACGAGGAGCGCGAGGACCAGCGGGAGGAGCGCCATTTCGCCGGTGTCTGGGAAGGTCGATCTCTCGTCTACTCGAGCAGTGGGAGGAAGCGAGTGTGCGAGCCACAGTTATATATAGCGCGGTGTGACCACGCTCCCGATCGCGCGCGCTGGCGATAAGCGCGAGCAGCTAGTAGCTCGCCACCATCCAGCTCAGCCCGGCTCACCTCACTCACCCACTAGCCACACTGACACTAACTACGTCGCCGTACAATTCAAACCTATACGTCGTCTCGCACGGCCACGCCACGGCTGCAACCGTGCAAACGCAAAATGCCACCACTCACCACACCTACTCGATCGATCTCCGCTTCATATGCAAATTCGCGTCGGTATCTGAATACCGAAGGGCACATATTGGACGTACGCAAAATAGATTTTGACAGCGTACAGACTACAGAAACGAGGTTGGGTAAATCAACGGTTATGCCCGCTATGCCAGCCAACATCCAAGAGACGGCTTTGCATCTCCTAGCATATTGCAGGTTCTCTCAGAGAGTATGGGCTGAAATTCAAAGGTGGACCGTTCTCCAGCTAAATCCCCAAAGCTGGGGCAACTGTGTCTCGGTGGAGGAATGGTGGTACAATCTTCTTCACATACCACATAACCTGGCGAACGTACTAAAGCCACGGGTGATACACTGATACTAGTCTCTTCTGGCACTTTGAAAAACTACTGATGGCCCTCCTAGCAAAAATAAAGGAATAATCGATAACATGGGTAACAGCCAGGGCAAGAAGCCTCGCAGAGCTCACCGTTTCAAGAGAGGTCCCGTAAGACGTTTTTCTTTTTAGACCCTTCTTTAAAGGCCCTGTAAAGTTATAATCATTGGTTAACTTCTTTTCTATCAATATATACGAGGCAAAACTTTTTCCCACTTTTTTTTAAAAAAAAGCTCTTGTATCAATGTACACAAGGGCTTCCTTTCCCCTGAAGTACCTCGGCCTACCGCTGGCGGTTAGTCGGGTGAGCAGGGCCGACCTCCAGCCCCTCTTCGATAAGTCCACTAGGCGCTTGGCTGCCTGGAGAGGCCGGAATCGCTAGGAGAACGACACTCGTGAAAGCGGTTCTCTTCTCGCAGCCGGTGTATTTCCTAACCGCACCAAAAGTGCCCAAGGAGTCATTGGAGGTCCTACACAAGCAGCGTAAGCGTTTCCTCTGGGTGGGATGTGTAAACCTGACGGGAGGAAAATGCAAGGTCAAGTGGACAAGAACCTGCTCCCCCATCGCTAACGGCGGCATAGGAGCGCTCGACTTGGAGGAGTTCATATGTGCGTTCCATGTAAGATGGCTCTGGCAGGGATGGAAGACCCCAAGAAAACCTTGGACGGGGCACGTGATGCCGTGCATCGAGAAGGACAAGCAACTCTTTGCGGCGGCCACCACCATTTCAGTGGGAGATGGGTCAGTAGCCCCGCTTCTGGGACTCGCCTTGGTTGCAAGGTAGAAGACTGAAAGACCTGGTGCCAAGTGTCATGCAACATCTAGAAGGAAAATCAGGACGTTGAGGGAAGCTTGCAAGGGCGACACATGGATAGAAGATCTTAACCTCCTAATCAGTGGTGGCATGCCCATTGAACTCCTGGACCAACTAGTGTCTCTCTGGAGCATGGTTCAAAATGTGTATTTCATCAACTGGCCAGACCAAATCATTTGGAAACTTACAGCCCACGGGGAATATACGGTGATATCGACATACAAAGCGCAGTTCCTTGGTTCTACTAGTACAAACTACACGACGATCATATGAAGCCCTGGGCACATGGGTGATCATCCAAAACAGAGTATGGCTTCGTACCGCCTCACAATACGGGGTTGGCAAAACAATGCTTACTACCCTCTTTGCTGGCATACCCTGGAGACGGCCCTACACCTCATGGCGGAATGTAGATATACGAGGAGGATTTGGGGTTTGATATCAACTTGGACCTCCCAAGATCAAATCGATCTAGTAATTTGGAGTAACCCTGCAACGGTCCATGAGTGGTGGTTGGACCTGGATTCCAACCCAGAAGTGCAAAAAAGGCTTGCAACCTTCCTCCTGATTTCTTGGGAAACATGGACAGAGCGAAACCAGCAGATATTCAGATACAAATAGCTATTGGCATCGTGCCTAGTGCCTAAGATCAAAGAGAAAGCAAAGTCCTAGACTTTGGCAGGAGCAAGGGGCCTTGCTAGCATTGTTCCTTAGGGGTTATATTTTTCACTTTTCGTAAATAACCCGTTTAGATTGTACAGTTTTTTTCCTGCTCTATTCAATGAAAGCGTCGGTTCGTTAAAACAAAAAATTGGGCGTACGCAGTACGAAGTGGTCTCAACCATATACGTACACAGATCGGGAGGGCAAATGCATCCGTAATTGTATTTGGTTGGTGCAATTGCGAACGACAGCACTGAACCTTTTCGTTGCCGTCTTTTTGGGCGCGAGAGGGATGGTTCTTCTCCGGCGGTTCAACCAATTGATTTGTCCGATTGTCCCTGTCTGCTTGATCAATTAATTGGATCAGTTAATTAAGGGCCATATAATATAATCCAGCGTGTTTACGTGAGTGTGTGTGAAAAGTTTTCAGTTTTGACAGCACCCAAAAGGAGGACATCTCATGTAGTAGTACTGCATCAAGGCACTGAATGTCTGAACATTATATTAGCTCCCCTTGCAAAGTTAATTGGTCCCTTTAAGAGATTCTAATCAGTAGTGAATGTGACGGTTTCAGACTTTCAATTTCCAGGTTAATTGTGACCCAATCGATCGATGCCGTATTTTATCTGCGGCTATATTTTAGCTGGCGCATACATATCTACCTACTGGCACGAACTCCTGTCTGAAAGAGAGATACTATACAGAAAGACTATTTGCAATAGTCCACTCAGAGCAAAACATATTGGCATGAACTACCACATGATAGGCTGTCAAATGTTAATGCAAAAATCAATAAAGACTACACCACTCCTAAGACCAATAAATTAAAGAAAAGGGGCTACTAACTAAAGGTGAAGGGTAAAGCAACCAACTTTTGTATTTTATTTACAAAGGTACTAAGGATTTTGAAAACTTAGGTTTGATTTTGCATGGCATCCGCACCTATTCCTCATACGTCGTTTTCGTAATCATACAATGTCATTTCTATCAATTTCCTCAACCAATAGTGTGAGGTTAGCATCAAGCTTAGCTAGCTAGTCACACACAATAGATGCATCGCAACAGTGGCCATGCATGATGATTAGTAATCAAATGTGCAGTCACTCGAATAAACGAGCCCCTTCTCAGCTGGCAATGGCAATCAGGGTGGTGATTTGAAGCGCCAACCGACTGCTTGAACAGCAACAAAAATGGATATATATATATATATATATATAGAGAGAGAGAGAGAGAGGTAAGAGAAACAAAATTAAGCATCTTGTGGTGCTTCCGAATGCAGCTTCTGATCATTTGGATCGACCGAGAAAGACTGACAGCGATTTTATGCTCTATTCTGAAGCAAAGTCTAGGCGCCAGCCAGCTAGCCAGCCCATTCTCAAGTCACTGATCTGAAGCATCCAGACACGTCTCTGCTCCCCGGTGCCGGTCCGTTCACCCATCATTTCCCTTCACGACTCACGAGCAAATACGTACAAAGATCAGTCGAGTTTCAGGTCGAAATTGTTTTGTTTCATTCTGCTCTGCATGCAGAGAGAGCAAAGTGTATGTTTGGAATGGATACAAGTCCACATGTGCGTATCTTTCAGTTCAGAGTTCAGACACGGGCACAGGACTACAGGAGCCGTCTCTAGGAAGTAGCTAAATTACAACATTCTAGCTAATGGCAATATATTTGCTGGAAATTTAAACACACATAGTTTTCACAAGATCTGATCCCCCTACCAACCAATCCGAGCCACCGCGGCCAGCTTCTGTTCACCCGCAATTATGCCTGACAGGGACTCGCAAACCACTAGATTAGATCATGGTCCATGAGCCTCTCTACCAACAGCCTGGATCTCCTCAATGAGGCTGCCCTAGTAGCTATGCTCACTCACACACACACCTCCATTGCTGATCGATTCAAGTCCGGTACAAATTAATAATGAGAAGGGCATCGATCCTTTGCATATGCATTAGTGGCACTGCATCTGCATGCACCACTACCACTAGCTGATCAGTAGAAAGAAAATATACAATTCCCCTTCTGATTGATCCGACAGCAACGTGGCGGAGTGATGACAAGATTGGGAGGGTGGGGTACATTGCAAGGGAAGCAAAGCTACCATACATCACCTTTTCGCCTCTTCTTCTTCCTCCCTTCACCAACCACCGCTATGGCCAGTGCTCGTCAGAAGTCGCTGCTGCTAGCTTAGCTACAGTCCGAGTGAGCTGTCGCTGTGTAATGTAGCTTGGGAGGTTAACTTAATTCACTGATCGATCACTCCAGAGCAGCATACGGGAAATGCATGACATCCGTGGTTAATTCAATTGCACTTCATTCGTGGTCGTTCTGTAAAGGTAAAAGTGAAAGTTGCCGGTATTACTGACTGATCTTTGTAGTGTTTAGAGTTGGTATGAGGTTAGAGAAACATTCAGTAGAAGTTACTTCGCTCCTACAGCTGGTTGAATCAATGGTCCTTCTTGTTGTTGACCTCCACCACGCGTGGAGCAGATGGACAGTGAGAGCGGTGTTCTGTTTCTGTACACAGACAATACGTAGGTGGACAAGGCAACAACCTTGCGGCGATCGAAAACTGATGACTGCACAACAATTGTGAACCCGTTGTTTAGGCCCGTCGTTAATTGAGTAATGCTGGCTGTGCCTTTAATCTTCGCCGATGCCGTAGTGATTGTCGAAACGCAAAATTATAATAGAAAAAGATGAGGATAGTGGGTCGTTGCAAAATCAAGATAGGCTGTGCGGCCAGGCAATCTTCTAAGGTGTTCATAGAACTTGATAAAAAGTTTTGGAGAGATTCATAGGGTAAGGAAATTTTTAATCAGAGTGAAAAAACGATGAGGATAGTAGGTAGTTGGAAAAACATGTTTAGTACAAAATGTAAGCATGAAAAAAAATCCCCTCTAAATCCATGTTAAAAATTGAATTGGTCAATGGCGTGTTAGTTATGAGTATTTAAGACTAATCATAGATAGAATTCAACTCTACGATGTTTTATCTTTACATACATTTTGATTTAGGGTGTGTTTACTTCCACGCTAAAATTGGAAGTTCGAAAAAAAAAGTTGAAAGTTTATGTGTGTAGGAAAGTTTCGATGTGATGGAAAAGTTGAAAGTTTGAAGAAAAAGTTGGGAACTAAACCAGGCCTTAACCTTACTCAGACGAGGTTGCACAACCCTACTTAATTTCTAATAATATAGAGATAATATAGGGTAAATCTATAGTGTTAGTCATGAATATTTATTAGTATTTAAGACTAATCATAGAGTAAAGTATACCACTGGTACTTAAAGTTGAAGTGTAGTGTCACTTAGGTTCATGATCTTGTAAAATCGATATTAAGGTCCATGAACTTGTTTAAGTGAATCATTGTGTTCCAAAACATGTTTGACTAGGTTGATTGTCCAGCGTGGCCACATATTTTCAATTAGGCCCTTCCACTTTTGCACCACTGGTTTGGTCGGCAGAATAGTCAGGGCGCAGCAAACATGGCGGCGGCGGTGGGGACAAGGGGCATGTGGACACTAGCCATCCAAGGTCGGATGCAGCGCCGATGACTGGCGGGAAGGCCGGATCCAACACCGGTGCCAGGGCGGAGCTCGACATCCATCACTCCGGCGGCGAGGCGGCGTAGAGCCGATCCGGCGGTGAGGAGGTCAGATGCGGCGCCGACAACTGGCGAGAAGGCCGGATCCAAAGCAAGCGACTAGGCGGAGCTCGGCATCCATCACTCTGGAGGCGAGGCATCACGGCGCGGATCCGGTGACATGTTTGATCCGGCACCGACAACCGGCGGGAAGGGAGACCGGCAGATTTGGCCGTCGGTAGGGGTGAAAACGGTACGGAAACGGACGGAAATCATCTTTATCGTTTTCGTTTTCATATTTTTTTCGGAATTGGAAACCTCGGATACGAAAATGGAATCAAATATTATCGAAACCGAAAACGGAGCGAAAACAAAATGACGCGGATATGGTAACGAAAATTTATCAGAATAAAGAAACCCCTCAAACTGATAAACCCAATTCTCAAGTCTCAACGGTTAACAATTCATCATAAAACACAATCATATAAGTCCAATTGTAAAGTATTAACAGTATATCACAAAACACAATCTATGGAATAAATTAGTAACGTTGTTGATAAATCCCAATGCAGGAAAAAAATATTCTTATGTAATTTGCATAACAAATATTTTTAATAAATAACAGCCAAACACCATGGCATTAACTATTTAGTGCTTAAAAAAATCCAGGGTATTTTGTGATTTCTGGAAATTCCGAGAAAAATTCCAGAAATTTTATCATTTTCGATTTCGTTTCCGAGAAAATATTTCCGAATCCGTTTCCGTTCCTGAAAAATTCCGAAAAAAATTCTGACTGACAGATTCTGTTTTCAAAAATAACTCCGCAATCCGGAAAGTTTCCGTACAGTTTTTACTCCTAGCTGTCAGTGAGGCACGGTTCTCCCCGATGGTGCTACTCTCTCCGGCGGTGGTGGAGGGATGGCTATGGCAAGGGCACGGGGCACCTAGACCGAGCGTCCACTACCCCCCTCATCGAATCAGGCCGTGACCGCGACTGCCTTCTTCTCCATCGAGCTCCCGACGGCTACCTCGTCAAGCTTGAGCCTGACGGCAGCGGCAAGATCTCGAGGGCACGCAGGCAGGGGCCAACTCGGTAACGATGACCGGGGCGAGCTTGCCGGCCAGCTCACCTGTAGGGACAAGGGCGCATTATGGAGAGGAGGGGTGCGGCGGCCATGGGGATCTTGTCGGTGGTCATCAGCGGCAAAGAGAAAAACCAGGAAAAAAGAGAGAAGGAGAAGAAAAAGAAAAGGATTTGGGGGAGAAGAGGGTGGATTGGGCACAGAGGGATGTAATAGCAAATATGTGGTCACGCTAGACAGCCATATAGGACTGTCAACCCGGTTAAATATGCTTTGGACCGCAATGATTCACTTAAACAAGTTCGTGGACCTTAATGTCAATTTTACAAAATCATGGATCTAAGTGACACCACATTTCAACTTTAAGAACCGGCGGTGTATTTTACTCCTAATCATAAATACAATTCAACTCTAAATGTCTTTGATCTTTATAACTTTACATATATTTTAAGAGATTTTTTACTGTCCTTGAGGTTGTGCAGTACTAAATCGTGGCCGTTGATTTGGCATCATCCAACAGTAAAAAAAAAAAAACGTCGGTACCTCATGCTACCGCACCTCCCCAATGAAGTGGTACTGTGGGTGGGGGTAGTTTTTTACTTTCGAGTTGTATCGTCATATCTTCGCGAGAGAAAACGAATCGCTGGGCAGGAGCAACAAGAGAAACGACGATGGTGTCAGGAGTAGCAAGAGAAACGACGATGGTTGGTCTGCACCAGACGACACAGGAAGAACGGAGTCCACAACAGCAGCGGGGTGGAAGCGACGCCAGAGTCTTCGAGGTGGATGCGACGACGGGATGCGCCGGCCTTGATGCGACGGCGGCCACAGCGGGCTCGATGCGATGGCAGCGGCTGTGGTGGGCTCGATGCGACGGCTGCCGCTGTGACCTCGATGCGACGGGATGCCCCGGCCTCGATGCGACGCGCGGCCGCGGCGGCCTCGATGCGACGTCGGCTGCGGCGGCCTCGATGAGACATCGGCCGTGGCGGACTAGCTGCGATGCGACGGCGGCCGCGGCGAATTCGATGTGGCACGGAGGTGCTATTGGCTGAGCGGCTGAGATGGGCGGTGATTAGCGCCACCCTAAATTTGTTTAGCCCAATCATACCTTTACTAAATCAACAGTTAGATTAAATTGTTATCTCGTATCTTATAGTATCTCCTCAAGAATAGAAAATATGCTTATATTTTAATACAACCTCATTAGATAATTTTGGATACTTTATAGGTAATTCCTAGTATTACAATGATAATACATCTATTTCAATTCACATATTGGATAATACATATATATTTTGATTTAGAGTTCAGAAATTTCCTTAGTAATCTATTAATTAACTTAAAAGAAATAGAAAAAGGAGACTCCACGTTCACTCTCACGGTTTAGAAATTCTCATATTAATCAAAAAAAAAAAAGTAAAACAGAGTCCATGTAGAAAAACAATTTAGAAATAGTTGAAATTCGTAATTAAAAAAAGGAATATTGGAAGAGGAGAATAGAGTCCATATATAAATACAATTAAGAAATAATAGAAATTTGAAATTAAAAATAAGGAATATTACAATTAAGAAATAATAGAAATTTGGAATTAAAAATAAGGAATATTAGAAGTAGAGTATAGAGTCCATATAGAAATACAATTAAGAAATAATACAAATTAAGAATTAAAAATAAGGAATATTAGAAGTACAGTAAGTATGAGTCCATATAGGAAATTGAAACTACCTAAAATTCGGAATAAACATAATAAAATTAAAAATAGAGTTTAGAGTTCATATAAAAATAAAATTTACAAATAACTAAATTCAAATTAAGAAAAAAATGGGAAGAAGAGTCTAAATTCAATATAGGAATACAATTTAGTAACTGAAATTTGAAATTAAAAGTTAAAGAATATTGAAAGATGAGTTTAGAGTCCACGTAGAAATACAATTGGAAATAACAAAAATTTAGAATTAAAAATAAATAATATTGGAAGAAGAGTCTAGAGTCTATATAAAAATATAATTTACAGATAACGAAAATTCGGAATTTTAAAAAGAAATATTGAAAGACGATTCTAGGGTCCATATAGGAATATAATTTACAAATAACTAAAAATTAATATTAAAAATAATTAATAACTAACACGGATATAAAATACAATATGAATATTACACATTAGTAGTTTTGTAAAGTTAGTACAAAATTTAAATTATGTTTTCATTTTAATATATTTGAATAATACATTACGAAAATATATATGCTATTATATGAGAGAAAATATAATAATACTAGCCGCGCAATCTGCGCGGGCCATCATGCTAGTTTCTATTATATGGATAACACATATATTTCTATCCAACATTAATGGTTAGATAATTCATATCTAATTACTCATACTATTTTTTAAACATTTTAACCGTCAGTGTCATCATTTATCCCACAGTCGGGTGTTATTATTTATCCCATCATCATAGTAAATCGTTGAAAATTAGTTTAATATTCTAAGTATATGGATACAGGTTGACCTTTGTTTACTCGGACCATGTTTACTGGTTGCTCTAATATCTCATCCTACATCTCCCTTCATTCTGCTCTAAAATATCCCAGCTTACCTCTCACTTCATCCTGAACAGCTCCGCGAGGTAAACATAATATTCTTTCATATGAACTCAATTTAACTACTTTTGCTATAACTTCGCGATAAGAGAGCCAAACACCAGTATATGTACTCATCTGCCTGAACCGTGTCACACGTAACTCAGCTCCTTATCATGCGATTGTGCCGGAAGATCACGCTAAACTCGCAGCTGGGAGAGCCACGCTGCCATCTGTCGTGGGCCGTGGTAGCACGCTGAAGAGAGTAAAAGTTTGCTCACCCTAAAGCTAGCCTGAGAGGCTGAGAGGCCTCGGCCCGAGGGCAGGCAGGTACAGTCGGACCCTCCCAACACGTATGGCCCAGCGAACATTTATGGGCCTCAAGTAGGCCGCATTCCTTTCCGGCCGACACTCCCGTTCCGGCCTAATATGTATGGGCCTCACGGACCGCATTGATTCATCCCCGTTCTGGGCCACTTTATTGGGCTGCACATTTCGGCTGCACGTTTTTCAGTGGAACAAGAGCACTTTGAATCTCTCAATATATATCCAAAATCTAATTCGTATATCTGATCTGTACTGCCGGATATTTTGATCCCCATCTACTAAAACCGATGTAATTTAACACTCTTAGCAGTTTTGGAGGACGGTTTCACCAACGTGTCACTTTGACTCGGTCCAACCAGCTAATGCAGCATGTTGAATCCACATGTCAACGTCACATTTTCTTCTTCCTACCCCTTTCTTCTCTCATTCTCTCTCCTCTCTAGGGGACTCGGTGGCCACCCCATGCATTCCCATCACGACCGCCGCTGCTTCGCCGTCGCTGCGCAGAGCGTCGTGCTTGTACGCTATGCTGTCGGCGGCCTTGATGGTGATGTGGAGGCGCACTGGCCTTGGCGGTGATGTGGAGGCGCCCCGCCGACTCTCCGATATTACAATATCCAATATTACGGTTTAGGGATAAGAATTAGATTAAAGCAATATTTGAGGGAGTCAATGTAAACTTAATACTTTTTCCACCCACCGACCGCCGCTATCCTAAGGTTGAGTTGTGTGCTGCGGCGGCCGACCTGACCTGACCGGCGGCGCCTCTTCTTCCTCAACCGATGCCTCCTGTTAGTGGTAGTGATCGCCGGAGGCCAGGAACGGTAGTGGAAGCTTTCTGTTTCTGAGGTGCAAACTGCAAAGGCTTACGAGGTATTTCTGGCTTCACTTATCTGAAACTGCTAAACGTTTCTAATTCTTCGGCGGATTCCGCCTGTCATACTGCTGTGGTGCAGCTGCAACCTGGAGTATTCCGCATGCAGGGGAAAACTTTGGTGCATCGCATTTTTCATTTAGAACAAAGTCATTTTCAATTTAACTGCAGAAAAATCGGGACTTCAGAGTTCTGACCTGAGAGATTTTTCAAAAGAGTAACCTGAAATACTTAATACATAAGCAGAGGCGCTACATCAGGATCTCTCTTCACCGATGTTGATGACCGCGATACGAATAGCAGTAAACATTATGTACACAGCCTTCAGGACCAGTACTTGGGAGAGGCAGATATTGGTGTATATCTATGTTCATCTAGCACCTAAACCGTGATACGAGGAAAAAAGAACATGGTTACTACAACACATTTGCATACTAAAAGAATGTCACCATGGATAATGAACCGATGACTATATTTTCCTCTGACGAAACAAAACCTACAAATGCCACCGCGATCATGTTGCTTGCTGTGATCGTAAGCACCAAGCTGTAGAAACTGAGATCATAAGCTCGATCTAGTTTGCCTTTCTCTAGAATCAACTGTTGCATATCCCAATCACGGCAGCATTGCAAAACTGTATTCCACACCACCAGCTCATATGAACTGCCTCGACTTCAAGTGTCTCCTTCTAAAAGTGGTTGAGCACCAGAATCTATGAGGAACAGGAAGGAAAACATTAGCAGACCATTGTTTGACATATCCAAAATGGAGAAAGATGCAACATTAGTGTGTTTTAAGTCCTCACCTGCAGTTCTGTTATGCATGTCAAGTGTGTGATTTCTCCGATTCTGAATGATATGAACAATTTCAGACTTCACAATACGTGACAATAAGACGCCGGCAGCTAATGCACAAAATATAAGCATTGTGAAAACTGAATCCCATCCACGTTTTGAAATAAAACCTGTAATGAATGGACCTAAGGCAGCACCAAGCGATCCTGTTCCATCTATAATTGATGTGACGGTGGCCAACGCACGGGAATCCCCCTTAAGAGATTTGTGGGTTCCCAGATCGGCAGAAACTGCAGTTGTTATGAGAGCATAAGGTCCATTAACAAACAAGCCACTGATCATCATCAAGCCAATGTTTGCCACTTCTGAAGTACTGCCATATGCATGGAAGGCGTAAAGAGATGGAATAGCCAAGTACATGAAGATTGCTGCCGTGGTGGCCCTTGCATTGAGATGATCAGATATGAACCCAGCAAGAATTCCACCAATGATTCCACCTACATCAAACAAAGCTGAGAGATACCCAGCAGACGTGACTGACATTTCCTTGCCTCCAATAGCTGGAAAATGCCAAAACAAAGTGATCGAATGATTAACTGAAATGATAAAAATACGAAAAATATAGTAAAACTACAATTTCTTGTATGATCGGAAGTGTCCAAAATAGTTGGAGACGAATCGTCCTGTCAAATTTCTTGTGCAGTATGCACAACACAATGTACCATTTGACATGAAGAACACATGTTGCCGCAATCAGATAGCATAACATAACAATATGGGCCATATATATTAGCAGTATTCTATTATTAATTAAATGTATTAAAACAATGATACTCTCTAGATACCCACACACAGAACACAGGGAACACCGGATATGTACAACCTGATAAACCAGCAGACCACTAATTTCCCACTACATTTTGCTTATCATGTGGCTATCTCCTGTATTCTAATCATATATACCAAAATGCACAATATCACACCCTATCATAGTCAATTGCTAATGTACTACAACAAACTGTGATAATCTAAGGTAAGAGTCTGCAAGCAAAATTCGATTGCAAGAAAGTGTTTTTGACAGTACTGAAAAAAGAAATGCCAATCCACCACAGGACAAATAAATCTTCAAGCAGACAAGTGATATCAATTCAGTGTGATAATGTGTATCGCTGTGGCCAATTACTGTCAATCAAAATGAACTAGTGAAAAATAAATCCCTGTGCATACCCGTCTGGCTCAGGTAGAAAGGAAGCCAGTACAAGAACGTGTAGGCGACCAGCTTCGCGAAGAAGAGGCAGAGCGCGAAGGTGATGACGCCAGGAATCGCGAACGCCTTCCACATCCCCACGGCGTCCCTCCTCTCCTCCTTCCCGGCGCCACCGGCGGCGCTCGCGCTGCTGCTGCTGTCCTCCTCGTCGGTGCTCGCCTCACTCACTGCCTTGGGCAGCGTCGTCGGAGAGAAGCCAAGGTCCTCCGGGTAAGGCGCGAGGAAGAAGAACACGAGAACGCCACCGAACGCGATGAGCAGGCCCGGCACGATGAACGACCACCCCCACCCGTAGCGGAGCACGGCGGCGGCGATGAGGGAGCCGCTGATGTTCCCGATGGAGGTGTGCGCGTTCCATATCCCCATGATGAGGCCGCGCCTCCGCCCACGGAACCAGTTGCCGACGATGGCGACGACGGAGGGCCAGCCGGTGGACTGGAGCAATCCGGCGATCACCTGGGCGGCGAGGTAGAAGGCGAGGGAGTGGAGGGAGAGGAAGTACCCGACGCCGAAGAGCGCGACGGCGGTGCCGCTCCCGATCATGCCGACGGCGAGGAAGAGGCGGAGGTCGAGGCGGTCGCCGAGGTGGCCCGCGACGAACATGCCGAGGGAGTAGAAGGCGAGGAACGCGACGTCGGTCTCGCCGAGGAGCGCCGGGTCGTGGAAGGGCGGCCACGCCTCGGATAGCGCGCGCTTGACGATGCTGGGCGGCTTGCGGGAGGCGTGGTAGAGCGCGTAGGCGACGAAGGTGAGGCCCAGGACGAGGCCCCGGTGGGAGTTGTAGGAGATGGCCGGCAGGGCGCAGAGGCCCGGCGGCGCGCGGTTGGCGCGGTGAGGCGCCGGCGGTGGCTTCGCCATGGGCGGTAGCGGAGCGGGGGTTGCGGCCGGTAACGGGTGGCGGAGGCTTTCGCGGGGAGGGGGCGGAGGCGGAGGAAGTGTGTGTGTGTGGGGGTGGGGGGGGGGGGGGGGGGGCGCAGGAGGGAGGACGTGGCGGGGTCAGCGGGTCAGCCGGCCCGGGGAGACGACACGCGGCGGGGCGGTTATGCGAGTTTGTGTTTGTGATCGACTTTTCACTGCGGGAACTTTTTTTTAAAAAAGAATACTCACTCCGTCCCAAAATAAGTGTAGTTTTGCACTATTCACGTTCAACGTTTGACTGTTTGTCTTATTTGAAATTTTTTTAGATTAATATTTTTATTGCTATTAGATGATAAAACTTGAATAGTACTTTATGTGTGACTAAATATTTTTAAACTTTTCACAAATTTTTTAAATAAGTCGGACGGTCAAACGTTGGACACAGATATCCACGGCTGCACTTATTTTAGGCTGGAGGTAATATTTTTTTTGTGTGTCTTGTTTCTTGTCTCGTTTCTTCTCTATTCTCCTCGTTTTCAGCATTGCGTGGCATCTTTTCTCTTTTGAAAACGTCGGTAAGGACTGGAAAACCTCGCCCGGTCGCCCTATCCCGGGGGCGACGCAGGCGGCGAACAAGCCGCGCCGTCCCCGCCTTTCTCCTCCCCTCCCCAGCCTCGCCGCCGCCGGCAAAGCCGGGCGGCTGCAAGGACGGCGGCGACGGGGCTCTCTTTCCCTCACTCGCGGCCAAGACGGTCGGGACGTCGGCACGGCACGAGCTCAGGGCATGGCGTCGGCGCCGACCGGATCCGGTGCCGTGGTGGCCGAATCCGGTCCCCCAGCGACAGGCGGTGGCGTCCTGGCAGCTCGGCGGCGAGGTTTGGCGGTGGTTTTGGGCGGCGGCGACCTGGCGCGGTGGCGACCTAGCGGGAGACGCTGCCGGAGCTGCCTCCGGTACCGAGCACGGATGCGCGGCCGGACGACAGATGCGGCGGTGGAGGTGCGGCGAGAGCCGGTGGTGACGCCGGCGATGCAGGAGGAGGCAACGACGCCTCTAGTCAAATCTGGCTGGCGGTGGTTGTGGCTGCCGACGGCGGCAGTGACGGGCGGCGGCTGTGGCGGCATCGACTGTGGCGACTGGCTGGCGAGGCAGCGGCCGTGGTGGTCGAGGCATCGTGGAGGCGGTCGCGCGGCCTCGTGGGCGGCGAGGCCTGCCGTGCAGGCGTCGTGGAGGCCGGCGACGTGTGGCTGTCGTGGAGGCCAGCGTTGTGCGGCAGCGGGAGGGCGTCATGGAGACCGGCGGGAGTGTGGAGTCGCGGCCGGCGACATGGAGCTCGCGGGCAGCGACAGCGGGTGCTGGTGGCTGCAGGCTACGACAGCGGACGGCTTGCGGCGATGGCCGTGGCGACCGTGGACGTGGCTGCGGCGGAGGAGGTGAGGATGGCGATGGCGAGGTGGCTGGGCATTTGGCAGCAGCGGCTGCGATGGTGGTGACTGCGGTCATTGGAGGCATGGCGGCTTCGGACGGCTAGCCGAGGGCGTGGCAGACGGTTGCATCTGGCCGGCATGGCATCGTTTGGAGGAGGGATCGGAGACCGGCTTGGCGTAGAGGTGCAGCCGATGGCAGCGAAGGCCGGCTCGGCGCGAGAGGCACGGGCGGCGGAGATGGAGGCCGGCTTGGCGCGAGAGGCGCAGCCGATGGAGGGAGGCCGGATTGGTGCGAGAGGCGCGTCCGGTGGAGGAGGCTGGCTTGGCACAAGAGGCGCGGCCGGCGGTGGATGAGGCGACCTCTGTGTGAGAAGCTGCCGGTGGGTGTAGCGCGGTCTTCGACGCACGAAGGCTGGCCAGCGGGGGACGCCGGTACAGGGGTCCCACATGTCGGCAGAGCTTGAGTGGTGGTGGAGCATCGATGCGTCAGCCGTGGATTCGCAGGTTGCTGGGCGTAAGCCCAGTCTTGGCTCCTTGGGCCCCGACGGACGGCGGCAACGGTTTTCCGTCGCTTCTCTTTTTGAAGACGTCGTTTTGGTATCCCCTAGAGGGCGATGTTCGTCTGTGTTTCTTTGTTGGTCTAGCAGCGGTCGATCACGCTTAGCGGCGGCCGATTCGGTGCTAGCCTTCTCCCGGATTGTGTGTTGAAGCTGTCGATGTATGGGTGGTGGTATAGTTATTCCTTTTTCCTGGTTACGACCCTCCAGGGTTGTAATCTTATAATTTTTTTTCTGCTCTATCAATAGAACTTCGTACCGTCTCGTGCGAGTCGTTAAAAAAAAGCATTGTGTGGCAAGTTTCCAGAGTTTCTAAAGTAGACAAACTTCAGCATTAGCATGATCAATAATAGTCGAGTATAAAGAGATACATATTTATCTTATTAGATGATAATGTCGAATAGATTACATAATTTCAGATTTAAGCCAAGCATGTGTTATTGTATAATGGTTTCATCTAATTTGTATATAAATTGAATAAATTTGATCACGTGACCTATACATTAGAAATATATATTAAAATCTCCACTTAAATCTTTCCGTTTTCTTATTAGCTCTCACTTACAAACAAGTATCAACATAATAGTAGTATGGTATCATTGTATAAGTATAAATTTATGACTTACTACCGATGTCATTGAAATATGTCATATTAGTTATTTATGTTGTTCGTTTAAACTTTTAAAATATGCAAAATCACCATCTAAAAACACCTTAAGAGGAAATATGAACGATTTTATGAATTTTAGGGGGTTAGATATCCGGTTTTAAAGTTAAATATGCTAGATAAACTTCCATCCAAAATTTAGGGGAGTATTTGGATTTTTTTTCATTAGAAAAACACTACTGTTCCATATTACAAGCAAAAATGGGGGAAAAAGAAAGCCTTCTCTGCCTTCACAACTCACCGAATCTACGGTTCAGATTGCTCGCAACCTTCGGATAGGAGGTGGGACCCACTTTACAGCGGCACAGCTCCTGCCTCAAAAAGATAGGCGGATAGCGTTCATCCCCCACTCCCCCCCGTCCGGCGCGCGGCTCCTCCGTCGACCCGCCGTAAGTAAACCTTCCGATGGCCGCCGCCGCCGCCGCCGCCGCCTCCGCCACCGCCGCCATCTCCGGTGCGTTACTCCCCCACGCCGTCGCATGCCACCGCTTGCCGCCGCGGCCGCAGCTCCTCGCGGTGTCCTCCTCATTCCGCCGCCTCTCCCTGACCGCCTCCCCTCGCCGGGCCAGCCGCCTGGTCCCTCGCGCGGACGCCAGCGCAGAAGCGGGAGAACCGGAGCCCGCCGCTGAGGCTGAGGCTGAGGCTGTTGCTGCCTCGACTGACGCTGAGGTGGAGGAGGGTGAGGCGGAGGCGGCTGTCGCGGTGGCGGAGGAAGAGCAGGAGGAAGAAGATGAGCCTCCGCCGCCGAGCAAGCCCCCGGTTAAGTTCGGGGAGATCATTGGGGTGAGCATTTCCTTGCGTAATCTTCTTATAAACTGCTCATGACATTGGGTTATCGGTGGTGGAGCAATGCAGGTGAGAAAAACATCAGCTAACCATATTTTTATTAGGGGAGAATGCAACAATTTATCTATGACTATATGAGTAGCATTTCTTTTGTTTGCAGAACATAAATTCTCTGTTCTGTTGAGTTGTTGACAGTGCAGGTGCTGAAATAGCAACTCATTGTGTGTAACACTTATGGCAGAATTAGTTAGTTACTACATAGTCTGCTACTCAATAAATGGAAAGTATCTACTCCCTCCGTTTCACAATGTAAGTCATTCTAGCATTTTCCACATTCATATTGATGTTAATGAATCTAGACATATATAAATTCATTAACATCAATATGAATGTGGGAAATGCTAGAATGACTTACATTGTGAAACGGATGAAGTAGTTAGTAAACTGAATTGGGGATTGATTTTTCTCGTAAATGGAAAGGGTAACCTATTTAGTAAACGGAATTGGGGATTGATTTTTCTCAACATGGGTTCACTTCAGTTTGGTGGCAGATAAGTCAGTAGAGGCCTCTGGGAGCCACCATTCTTTTGTGACTCCCTTTTAATTCTTTGTTGTTCTTGTATGCTCTCATGAGCGTGTCTCGATTGGATTTGGTGGTTTCTTGAGATTCTGTGCAATCACTATTTGTCCCGTAACAAGAATTTCATTTTTTTTCACAGCTACATCCATGGCAATTTTGGACTTGTTTACATGTGACACGATTTTACTTGAATTGTTTTGTGCTGTAGATTCTGAACAAACAGTTCATTGAGGAGGCTGAAAAGGTGAAGACTTTACCAGATCTTAGGCCTGGTGACATCATTGAGCTTAGAATGGTGAGGTTTTCGCTACTCTTGAATGTTTTTCTTATGCTCCCAATTTGAAAGCTATTGACATATGAAGCAAATGCTATTACAGCAACGGCCCAACAAGAGGAGATTGTCGCTCTTTAAGGGCATAATTATAGCAAAACACAAATCTGGTGTTCACACCACAATCCGTGTCAGAAGGATTATTGCTGGTGTCGGAGTTGAGATTACCTTCCCTATGTAAGTCAGAGTTGTTGGTTTCATTTTTTTTTTCTATGCAATGTGGATATTGCACCTGGTATCACATGATGACACTGAACTCATACTGAAATCTTGAAACATAAAATTCCATGTCCATACTTCTATATAACTACAATAAATGTGGGACATGCTTATCATTCAAATATAAATAGTAATAATGAATCATGCAGCTTTATGTGCCTTTGTTCCTTCATGTAAACTGATAGTAGGAATAGGATATACCAGGTTTCTGTCATTTGCTTTAAGCTGGATTGATGTGTTTTTATAGATAATTCACTATTTATAAAACTTCCTGTGTATTTTTTATATGTTGATTTACTATTTAATGATTATTTTTCAGTTTGAGGTACTAAATTAATAGTTGAGTTAGGTTTTAAGCATTCTAGTGCAAAATCCAAGTTTATCTACCATCACTTATGCAGATTTACAGAACCGGTATAGTTGCTGTAAGCCTGTAACTTAGAAGTCAGAACATACTGTCTTACAGCTTAGGAGTATTTCATTTTTTTTTAAGGTTGCTATTTCAGTAGTTCAAACTTTATCAGCAACAGCAAGATTGAATCTATCAACTAGGTGTGTCTCATTCAATTAATTACATTACCTCATTTTTTTATTTGAAGCTTCAGAGTTAGCTCTACAGAGTCTGTGTCCTCTTTTATTTGCCTTTTGCTCATAACTGCCTTTAGCAAAATGAAGTTGAAAGCTCTATTTTAATATGCTCCTTATTGCTGCATGTAATTATATTTTTGGTAATAAAAAAGCAACTATTATCCTTCCACGTGGATGTCTGTTATAATTCCTTTCACAAAAGGAGATAGATCCCCTACTTCCTGATACAGAAACATTGCTAGGATTTAAGCTCACGATAAAGATGATGTTTTGCTTCTTGTATATCTGGGGATAAAAATGCAAGAATAACAGTTCGTTCATGATTGGCATCATTCACAGCTTCTGCAATAACATGTCGGGTAGTGTTCTCTATAATATGTTAATAATGCAGCTGGTATCTTCCATTCCAGATATTCACCCAGGATCAAGGAAATTAAAGTAATCAGGCACAAGAAAGTGAGAAGAGCAAAGTTATATTATTTGAAGCACAAGCTTCCCCGCTTTTCAACTTTCAAGTAAAAATTAGATATGCTGGCAGAAGAGCTTCTCTCACTAGCATTGTTACTTTCTCTAGCAAATGCTTTTTTATTTTTTTGTTCAAACCTATGCTTTTCACTGTAATCACTAAATTTCAAATGTGTAATATCTACACCTTTTCTGTTTGGCATATATTTTTGTCTTTCTGTGGAAATGTACTTTCTTCGCTTTGTATAAAGTTCCTACTAGCATTTTGTTATGAATTTGTTGACATCCTTCTCTTGAAATTTGGCTTCTCAGCTGCCTATCTAACTGATGGTTAATAAGCACGTACACTACTATCATGAATGGAAAGTTGCTAACTTCTGGTTAAGTGGAGTAGTACATCTGCATTTTTTATGGATCAGTAGTTGAATTGACGGGTAATAAATTATAACTGAAGTTTCCAGCAGCACTGGTTGGTTTGATGAGCCATCGACCGTATCCATTTATACTCTTGTGTTGGAAGAGTTGTGTTGTCTCCAGGGCCTACACTACACGACATTAGATGTTTATTTGGTCTTGGCACGGCTGCCACTGGAATTCAAACTACTTTCCCAAATTGATGCTGTTAATAACTAAATATAAACTCCCAAAGGCGAGAATTGCTGTTAATGGTTTACATTTAGTGTAAAGTTCTAGTTATTCTTACTGAACTAATCTGCTGAGGCCATTCTACAGTTTTTTTTTTCACTTTAGTACATTCCCTTACCTCTATATCCATTTTCCTCTTCTTTGTTCTCTCATCTCCCCCTTACTCATGTAACAATGTAACTTATAATTTCTATCAATGAAATGGCTATAAGTAGAGCTGGCTCTACCTTCTTATGTAAAAAAAAACAGTTATTCTTTACTGAAGCATCCTGCTGAAGATGTTATTTACTGGTTTGACATTTTATAACTGAAGACTTAATCATTTTGTGCAGTCTGTCCTGAATTGTACCCTACTTGATTACACTAGTTCCAGTTGAAGTTAAGTTTTGGCTTTAGTTTCTTTAAGCAACAATTGAGTGACACTCTTCATAACCTTTTTGCTTTGTAGGTTATTCCATGTCTCATAGTGGGCAAAATGATTGGAACCTCATCTGCCAGGTATTTAAAAACTGTAGAGCTACTTCCATCAGTAGAGAACAGTTACATAGACACCAACTATTTTCCATTCTTTTTTGCTAGGATGCTCCAATGATTCATTGAGGAAAATATAGAGCAAAATGGCTAATGTTTGTTTAACGGGTAAACACCCTGAGCAGACAAGAATATTCCTCAGATCCTTTTTTTTTTCTTATGTGTTCCTTTCAGTTTGCACTTTATGTCAGAATTGAATCATTTTAGGAAAAAGAAATTGAATGGCACAGCATGATCTCATTGCTCTGTTGAAAACCGATTTTTTGGTTATGATTTAGACTAAACAGGGTGAACAGAAAATGCTTATATGTTATCGCATTTGAGTATTCAATGGCATCCAGACTAAGCATGCTCATGAAAATTACTAGCAAAACGATGAGAGAGTAACTTCCAAGTGCCATGAGTTTCTATTCTTGGAAAAGATGCACCGAATAGTAAATAGTAACATAAATCATCAACCACCAATTAAATAAAAAAAAGAGCTTTGCTGTTCACTCGAAAAAAATGGGGGAAAAGGCAACTGCCACGGGCCCAAGAAGTGAGTGCTGCCCCGTCATTGTCGCCGAGAAGCCAAGAAAAGGCAAACCCAAACCCATTCGTTTCTCTCTCTTTCTCTTCCTTCGCTCCTAGCTCCTGCTCTTCCAATTCCTCATGCAAATTTCTTTCAGTTCAATTCAGTTCCTGGAAAGAAAGGCCGGATTTTACTCTGAACGAAGACAACGAAGGGAAAGGTAATATCATCTCTTCTGTAATGCAGCGAATTATGCATATTTGGGCGTCCTTTCAGTTCAATTTGTTTGATCAGGTGTGGCAATGGGTGGCGGCGGAACGCTGATCTCCATCTACCCCGAGGACCTCACTTTCCTATGTAAGTTCAGAGGAGTTCTTGAGATTATCCTAACAACATTTACGAGCGGTTAATTTAGCCTTAACCATCCGTGGTTTCTTCTCTCCGTTGAATTCTCGCGTGCAGTTGAGCTGGACAAACCGTGCTATTGCAATCTCAAGGTGGTGAACAACAGCGAGCATCATGTTGCATTCAAGGTATCTATCGAAACTCGCGAACTCACCGCTGAGAGCTGAGAGACGAGAGCGCCGTGCGCCGGCGACCACTCCGGTCCCCGGCGGCCACACCTCCCACCTGCCTCCTCCTCCTCTCCTTCCCCCCTCTTCTCGACTTCTCCCATGTCGAACGAAGGTTCTTCCTCCTCGGGCCCGCGGTACTCTCGATTCTCGAACGATGTCCTCACTGGAGCGCGGTTGGAGAGGGAGTCCGGCGGCGCCCGAGGTCGATGAGGCTGCGGCGGCGGCGGAGCCGGCCAGGTCGGGCAATGCGGTTCCTGGGGGTGGAGGGCCCCTCGCGGGATGCCCTGGTCGTTGCGCCTCCACCCAACGCCGGCCGCCTAGCCGGCGGCGGCGGCGGCCGTTGCGGCCGCAGCGGCCACCTCGTCCTCGCGTCCTGCTGCTGCGGGGGACTCCATGGGGATTTAACTATTTTTGCTACTCATACTGATAGCTACTCTCCAAATACCACTATCTACCGGATTTACTTTTACGAGTAATATACAAACTTAAGAGTGTGTGTCATTTACATCCATAAACTAAAATTACACATCTAGGTTCACCATCTTGGTTTAATAAATCATAGCCAGTCCAAACCTCGTTTGACTGAAGCTGACCGCCAACATGGCATTCCACGTAGATAACACATTTATAACTAGCCCCCTTTATAGCGAAGAGTGGTGGAAGAATTATATTTTGCCCCTTCCCGCTACAGGGACACCCTGAAACCCACAAAATCCCTCGCCTTCTCCCAATGGCTTGGATTAGCGACTGAGATGGTGAAGTACGGGGTATAGTAATGAGGGAGGGTTGGCGACGGTGAAGTACGAAATAGCGATGACGAAGGCGAAATGGGATTTTGTGGGTTTCGGGATGGTACTATAGCATGAAGGGGCAAATTGCAATTCTTCCATCACTCTTCGCTGCTGTAATAGGTTAGCTATAAATGTATTGTCTACGTGGAATGCCACGTCGGCGGTCAGCTCCTGTCAAACAAGGTTTGGACCGACTATGGTTCATTAAATCAAGATGGTAGACCTAAATGTGCAAGTTTTAAGTTTACGGAACTAAGTGACACCCACTATCAAGTTTAAGGATTGGCCATATATTTTAGTCTATTATTTTTAGAACACATTTCCCGATGTACCTACTCAATTTGATTCACCCGTTGTGCCTGTTATAGTGGTAAGAAAAATTATATACATTAGGAAGACATTTAAAGAATAGCTATATGTAAGGTAAAGTGACAGATAGTTAAATTCTATGCTCCATTGCAGGATCACGGACATTCAGGATACTTTTCCTTGGGATCCCTGTGATTGGGCCGGAAAATCCCCGTCCTGTGAGCTTACAAATGGAGCTAACAAAATTGACCCGTGGAAATTTTCCCCGTGGACCAGCTTCCTAGGATTTGTCCGGGATCCCGAGCTGCAAAGGAGCCCTCAAGATGTACTTGGGATCCATACTATTTTGGAATACCTGTAGTTGTAGTTGTGGTCGCTGATTAGGTCGCGCGATAGTCTTGTCAAAAAGACGAAGCTTCTAATGGGCGATCGATCGCAGATCCGTCTAATACGCAATTAGTCACTAGGGGTCACTTCACGCGATCAGATCAAGGAGTACTACACGTTTTTTCTTTTCTCAACCTCACTCGTGACTGTCTGCATACGATGTGGGTTCTTCATAAATTTAAAATCAATTTGAAAATAAGTGTGAAAAAAAGAAAGAGAATAAATAAATATATTACACTAAAATATATTCATGTACATACACTTTATATATATAAACATATACATTGCTAACTTTGTACATATAGACTATATGTATATAAATATTTTATACAAAATATATTTAAATTTGAATTCAAATTTAAATCGGGTATATAAACTTTCACCGTATAAACTTTATGTGTATAAACTTTAACAATACAATTTTTTTTGACCAGGAAAACTTTAACAATACAAATTTTAGAAGTATAAACTTTAGATGAGTAAACTTAAGATATTTAAATTTGAATTCAAATTCAAATAGGGTATATAAAATTTATGTGTATAAACTTTAACAATACAAACTTTAGATGTATAAACTTTAGATGAGTAAACTTAAGATGTATAAACTTACTAAAACAGAAAAGTAATGCGGTGCGGAAAAAAAGAAAGCAACGTGGGGAGAGAGGCCCACCACCCCGTGATGAGGACCGATCGCTCTCCACTCCGTGACGCGAGCGATCGCTCATTAGGATTCTTGATCGATCGCCCCCCTCTTCTCCACGTGGTTTCCTTTTTTTGGCACCGCATTACTTTCCTATTTTAGTAAATTTATGCACCTAAACTTTGTACATCTCAAGTTTACACATCTAAAGTTTAGAGACCCAAAATTTATAAATCAAAAGTTTATATATCCGATTCAAATTTGAATTTAAATTCAAATATTTTTTAATATAGTATTTATATACATTTAAAGTTTATACACCTAAAGTTTATAGACCAAAAGTTTATAAGTCAAAAGTTTATATACCCAATTCAAATTTGAATTTGAATTATATTTGATTCAAATTTGAATTTGAATTCAAATATTTTTTATATATAGTATTTCTATACATCTAAAGTTTATAGACCCAAAATTTATAAGTCAAAAGTTTACATACCCGATTCAAATTTGAATTTGAATTCAAATATTAGTTTATAGACCAAAAGTTTATAAGTTAAAAGTTTACATACCTGTTTCAAATTTGAATTTGAATTCAAATATTTTTTATATATAGTATTTCTATACATAAATTTTTCCAACTTTATTTTTTTAAAAAAAAATTATGATGTAGTAGGAAGAGAAGAAGGGGAGGAGGAAGGGGGGAGAGGAGTGTATGGGGGGATGGGGATCGATCGCCCATTAGCCACACCCGATAGTCTTGCCAAAAAGGAGGTTCTGCAGCTCTGCTCGTAGCCACATCGGTTGTGAGAATAGAACTTGAGTTGTAGTCCTTTTATTTTCCTCTTAGCTCCTCATCTTTTTTGTCTTTCTTTTCTCTTTGGTTGTAACCAGGAAACTTTACTCTCTCTTAATAAAATGATGCACAAATCTCTTGCGCCCAAAAAAATGTTACAATATTTCTTGACAGAAACCTCCCAGATTTTCTGAAACCTGGCAAGAAGATTTGATGCAAATTTGTTCTTTTTCCATTCAGGTCAAAACAACATCACCAAGGAAGTATTTCGTCCGGCCGAACGCGAACATCGTCCAGCCATGGGATTCTTGCACAATAACAAGTAAATACATGTTTCCAATTCTTGCACAATAACAAGTAAATACATGTTTCCAGTTTTGCCATTTTCTAGTATGCCAAGCAGTGGTTCTCTTTAGGCTTCTTGTTTCGTCTTGATATTTGGATATCTGCATTCTTGTTTGTTGGTGTAGTTACGCTCCAGGCGCAGAAAGAGTACCCACAAGATATGCAATGCAAGGATAAGTTCTTGATTCAGAGCACTAGGGTAGCTGCCAGTACTGACATGGACGAGATTCCTCCTGATACGGTGAGCATAAAATGCAAATATATGATTTTCAAGCTTTAGTGATGCATTATTGTTAAAATGACATGACTTCTAACCTACAAACTATATGCCATTTTTGTGTGTCCAGTTCAACAAGGAAGTTGATAAGGTGATTGAGGAAATAAAGCTTAAGGTTGTTTATACAGTGCCTAGTGGAAGTTCCGACGACTCTGGTATTACATCTTTAGGAAGCAGGAGCTTCAAATCGTTGTCTGACGATTTCACGGTGAGAGTACTATGTTGGAAACTTGTATGACGCTGACCAAACTTATGTGCAAAGGACTCATGTTTTGCACTGTACTACATGCAGATGCTGAAGAATGCAAGCATTGAAGAGGTAATGCAACTGATCCTAAAGGCATCTCTCATTTTATCAGGGAACTACACCTAAATAATATCACAATAAATATCTCTCCATTGAAGGAAAATTTCTGATTTCCGGACATGTTTTCGGAAATAGAAAACGTCGATCGGAATTTTTTTCGGAAATTTTCAGAAACAAAAACAAATTTGGATTTTTTTTTTCTCGGAAACAGAATCGAATATGCAAAGGCTACTGTCCGTCGGAAACCAGAATCGGTCGGAAACTTTTCGGAGACGAATTTATTCCTGGAAACAAATTTAGATTTTTTTTTCGAGATCAGAAACGGAATATTTTTATATGCTGTTGATTTGTTTCAGCCTTCTCTACTCTAAGATATTCAGATTTTAATGAATATTGAGGTCGTTAGTTCAATGGAGATATATTTTTTTAGTCCGGTGCTTTAGATTTGTTTTGTTTTGTTTTTGTTAGGCCATGCCATATTAGATAAATATAGTTCTTGTTCTCTTTACAACTAGTCGTGTTATTGTTAATTGATAAAAAGTTAGAAATGTCGATTTGTTGTTTTAGAAAAAATAATGAGCTACACCTTTTCATTGATTTCAGAAGTTTAATTTGAGGGGGGTTTTATACTCCGATAAATATCCGTTATCATATTCTCTATGTTCGCATTCGATTTTATTTTCATATTTGGGGTTTCCAATTTTAATTTATTATTTAAAAAAAAACATTGAAATGAAAACTACATAGGGTGGTTTCCGTCTGTTCTGAGCCTTTTTCATCCCTAATTCTGGCAAGAAATTATCATGCTATTTTGGGCATTACCATGATTCATTGCTTTGTAATGTTACCTTATGTTCCTCTACAGTTATAAACGCCTTTTTAATGAGAAAAACATGATCATCTGAAAGTGTAAGTGTTGGAATTTGGAAAACTAGCAGAATGCCAGTACTTTGTTACAGGATTAAAAGAAAAATCAAATGTTGTGGAAAAATTATATTGCTTATCGTTGTAATTTTTAATTAAATATAGAGTATATGAGTATTAATTAGATGTATGTAAAAATAATAATCACTGTGACTTTATCGTGGGTGTGACGATTGATTATTTTAATCATTCTCATCACTCCAAAGACCCAAGTTTGGAAAAGAAAAGATCAGTCTATCTACCTACGGTTGGAAAAAAAAAGGCTCTATGATAGTTAGCCCAAATCTCTCTATCTCTCAGCTCTGATAGCAAGAGGCAAGGAGGTTTAAATTTTTCACTGCCAAAGAGGAGTTCACATGTCAGTGATAAGAGTGGTATGTCGCCACCAGCACTACCAACATTTAAAATAGTATAGAAAAATGAAGCAACGATATAAGATGGTTGAAATGATCATAAAGTTGAACTTGAGAAAAACTATCCATAATTGAGGGTAGAACCACAGAAGTGAGGCCCTAGAGGCCTATGAGCAGGTTGCCTTTGCATTTCTTAACAGTGCACTGGGACCAGAACGTAGGCTCTGTTCGTTATGGGAAGATAGGGGAGATTGATTCTCGTTTTCCGCGTGCACGTTTTTCAAACTACTAAACGGTGCTTTTTTTGCAAAAAATTTCTATAGGAAAGTTGCTTTAAAAAATTATATTAATCCATTTTTAAATATTAAAATAGTTAATACTCAATTAATCATGAGCTAATGGCTCATCTCGTTTTGCGTATCTCCCCAATCTCCTCAATCCCCTTCTCCTTAAACACACCCTTAGAATCCATTGTCCTTTCGTCCATTATGAAAGTAATAGTTTTCTTTATCTTGACTGACATATTCCAAAATCCAAATAAAGAATTTGGATAATTTTTTTGGTTTCCTAAAGAGTTTGCCTCATTAAATGTGCCCTAGCTGATGGTAATTCTATACAATTTTAACTAAATTTGCCTGAACAAAGAAACATCTTTGTGATATGTTCTGTTATCGTTTTTTTCTTAATTAGCACCTCATTTTCTTCTATTCAGATACAGACAATACAACGCTTGAAAGATGAAAGAGATAACATGCTGCAGCAAAATCAGCAAATGCAACGTGAATTGGTCAGCCTTATTTTTTTGCAATTCATTTTGTTTTATGCTCACCACTTTATTTCACCGTAGCCCTTATGTTACTCAATGATATTAACATCTGAACTGTGAACCTTATACTGCCGTTTTATTGTTTGAACCCGTCATAAAAAATGTATAGTATGGAGAAAAAATAATTAGTTTCGATTAAAAATATCTGGCTTTGAGCAAAATGCAAAAGAAATTCTTCGCCCTGGGTGGATAGCAATTATTTATATTTCTATAATTGTGATCGATCAGTTCTTCATTAAAAATGCAAAGTTTGTTTGCTTGGTATTTATTTCTTCTGATGGGTTGTGGAAACAAATGTTGTCAAGGAAATAAAAGAAAACCATATTCTAGTCCTACTATTTTACAGTTCAAAATGAGTAGTTGTCGATTTGATTTGTCTAAAAAAGTATGAAAGTGGGAATGACAAATGTGCATAAAAATCCCATTGCTACTAGCATTTCATGAATGTGGAATATCCTCGTTAGTAAGTTTTCAAGATGATTCGTTTGTATACCCCTTTGCTCCCTTATATTGAATTTCTCCACATATAATTTGCATTATATATTTTTCAGGATGTGATTAGGAGGCGTAGAAGCCGCAAAAGCGATACGGGTTTCTCCTTAACGTTTGCTGCTTTTGTTGGGCTCATAGGTCTCTTGGTTGGGCTTCTGATGAGCCTAATCTTCTCTTCCCCGCAGCCTGCTGCTTAAATGCCATGGTCGCAATCAAGAGATATAGTGTTCAGCTTAATGCTAAAAAATGTGATGCGCACAGGTCAATATCAGTCAAACAAGCTTAGCTAGGTTAAGAGTCGAGTGAGCTGCTCTGGGGAGAAAAAAAACATATGGAAAATTCTACTTTAGTCTCCACAATTATTCTTTTGTTCTTTCCATTGTAGTTAATATGCGTCAAAATCATAAAAGGGTCGCAATGTTTCACCCCCACGTTCCTTAGTTTTTTATCTGTTCCTCCTATGTAATCTCTCTGTATAATTAGTTTGGCATATATATCAGGAAGAAGCTGTATGCTTTTACCGGTTGGAAATCTAAAAGGACGTCAAGTTAGCGCTTTTAGGATGTTTCATGATCGCAGCATCAATCCTAACTTTATAGTACGAAAAAAAAAACCTTTTAAATAAATCAAAGGGGAAACAGCTCAATATCTAGCTCTATACTCACCCCTAATTTTTCACATGGCAAAAGAGCTGGAATGCTTGGAAATCTTCGATCTACGTCACATTCTATTCTCTGCTTCGGTGGTGATGGTATCAGGTATGCCTCTGCAAGTCATCTCCGCTTGCATCTGAGAATCGCCTTTTTATTTTTGAAACCGATGAATCATTGAGGGTCCTCTGTAGTAGTACTGCTCACTAACATGTGGGCTGGATTGTGAATCATTTGGGTAGGAGAAAAAAAAGTTAAAAAATGTACTGATGAACTGAAAGAAAAAACAGCGTATTGGGTTCTCTGCTTCTCCCAAAAAACCTAAGACTTGTTCACTTTAATGTTATTTCTAACCATATCTTTTTTGGTAAAGTTGCCAGAAAAATATATATGTTTAGTTTGTTGCCAAATTTGCTCAGTACATAAGAAATTCTGCCATTTTGTCAATATTGCTATCTTGCTAAAATTTTAGCATTGCCAAAATTTGATAAGGTTTATTTTGACTACAATCTAAACAGGTCCCCAATGTCCACTTTTCTAGACTTCAGGCTAGATGCCCAGCTTGTTGAAGGCCCAAGCGTGCAACTAGGGGTGGCGATTTCCCTTGTGGGGCCGGGGACCCACCCCTATAGGGGCGGTGGTAGGTGGAAATTCTAACCCGCGGGTGCGGCGGGGCGGGGCCCCGCTCATTTTCAGGGGTGGGAGCGGGGTTGAAAAATTACCCGCTGGTTACTCGTGGGCCCCTAAAGTACACAATGCATAGAAGGTGGCCCATTAAAACAAATAATCTGGAGGTAGCTTAGTTTCGGTGGGGAATAAGTTCACTTTGACTCCCTTAACTAATGGCCGAATCTGATTCGTATCTCTAAACCACAATACCGGATATCTCGACACCCTCAACTATTAAAACCGGTGCAATTTGACTCTCTCGATGGTTTTGGAGGATGGTTTTGCTAACGTGACGCCTATGTGGCGTTGTTGACCGAAGTATTTGTTCTTTGTAGTGTTGACGTGGCGCTTAGGTGGCATTCAAATAAAAATATATTTGTGGGACCCATTGACATGTGGGCCCATATGCCATCTCTCTCGTTTCCTTCCTCCTCTCTCTCCCTTTCTCTTCGGTCTTCACGTTGGCCCGTATGCAGGGAGCGGGCGCCGAATAGGCGGCGGGGGCTGGAGGGGCGGCGGCGTGCAGGAGGAGGCAGCGACCGGCGACGACTGCAGGTACTGCGCCGGCACCTTGCCGGTGAGCGTATCGTCTGTACACGTCGGCCTCCTGTGAGGCTGTGACAGCCGCTTGTTGTCCTCCTGCTCCGGCGCCATGTAGCCTCCGAGGCGGGCAGTGGCGTGCGCGGGCTAAGGAGTGCCAGGTTGAAGTTGGCGACACAGGCGGCGCCGTCCTTGTCGAGCAGGACGTTGGTGGGGCACGGTGACGACGGCAACGGCGGCTACGGCGGCGTGGCGCCGGTGCCGCCGACATCGAGGCGGTGGGACGCCGCCGACCCGAACACGATCCTCCGCGTGCTCTGCCACCGCGACGACGAGGTCGCCAGCCAGTTTCTGAAGCGCACGTTCCAGCTCGCCGAGCGACGATGACGCAAAAAGCTTCGCGTCGTCTCGTCTCCAAGCTCATAATCTCTGAATTAAAACCTCATAATCTCTCTCGAACGAACTGTGAACCCAACACAAGTATGAATATCTAAAACTTTCTGGCACGGATCTAAAATTTTCAATCTTGATGTCATTCCTATAGTTGCATTCGAAAGTTTTCTACTGAAAAAGCTTACGATACTTTTTTAGCAATTCCCTATAACTCCCGCACGCTCCTCATCCCCAGTCCCCGCCCTCTCGCTCCGCCTCCTCTCACACGCCGCTGCCGCTCCAGCGCCCGCCGCCGCCGCCGATTCGGCGCCCGCTCCCCGCATACGGGCCAATGTAAAGACCGAAGAGAAGGGGGGAGAGAGAGGAGGAAGAAATGGAGAGAGATGATATGTAGGCCCCATAAATTTTTTTTTTGTCTGAATGACAAATGGGTCCCGCACATATATGTTTGTTTGAATGACACCTAAGCGCCACGTCAGCGTCACGTGGAACAGATACCAGGTCAACAACGCCACATAGACGCCACGTCAACAAAACCGTTCTTCAAAACCACCGAGGAAGTCAAATTACAGCGATTTTAATAGTTAGGGGTGTTGAGATACCCAGTATTGTGGTTCAGGGATACGAATCAGATTCGGCCACTAGTTAAGAGAGTCAAAGTGAACTTATTCCTTTCGGTGGACACCAAGCCCTTCATAAAGAAGGCCACATCTAGCTCAGTTGCAGCCCAATTCGATGGATGCGTACAACAAAGAAAACCGTAGATGAAGTCACGAGCAGCCAGATGATTTGATCGATCCCCAAATTATCTCTCAGCAAGAGGCCGTGCGCCGCGCCGCCGCCAACGTCGCCACCAGCATGAGGCCGTGATCCGCCAAACACCTTTCCCAGGTCACGCCCTCGCTCCACAACCCTTTCCCAGGCTCAACACTAGCAGCCGCCGCTAAGCCACCATGCCGCCCTGATGCTTCGTCGTTTGCGCCATGCTGTCTCGTCTCCTCGTCGGTCCTCTCCCAGGTGTCGCCCAGCAGTGACTTGACGGCAGCCGTCGTCGTCCCATCCATCGCCGCCGCTAGCCAGTGTCGGTGGCCTGCCTTCGCCTCCCCAAGCCGACACCATCCTAGCCACTGCCGCTCCTAGCTGGTGTTGCATTGTCGTCGTCCATCGCTAGCGCCGGTGGCCAGCCCGCCATCGTCTCCCCTAGCCGGCACCTAGCTGGCGTCGGTGGCCAGTCCCAACTCCATCGTCACCGACTCACCGTCCACACCTGTCCCTAGCCTGATGCTGTGGGTCCCCGGCTCCCCGCTCACCTGGCGAGTCCCTTGCAGGGCCTAGGGCGGGTGGGGTTCTTCACCCGACAAGCAATGCGGGGCGGGGGGCAAATGCGGGGAGCGGGGCCGGGGCCGTTCTTGCCCAACTCGGTCCCGTCCCACCCCGTTGCCATCCCTACGCACAATGCAAGCAGCATCCGCCATTCAGGAACCGGAGAAAGGAGAGGACGAAGCCGCGAAACTGCCAAAGGCCGAACACCTGAGTGAGTACGTCAGTAACCTGACCGTGCCGCGGCCGCACGAACGCACGCGCGCACGCACGGGAATAATCAAATCATCTAGATTTTTAGAGTCAAACACGTACGATCACCAGGGCGCAAGGCGCGAGCTCATCGCTACTCTCAAGTCTTCACCGAGCTCCACCGAGCTTTTCTTCTTCTTCTTCTTCTTCTGTGTGCTTCCAGTGCATCATCTCTCGGATGACCACGACGACTGCCACGCAGTACGACAAGGATCATCATATTCAGAAGAAGCATGCCGCGCCATGTGACCCGAAATCTGAAAATGTAAGCCGCTCTCTGGTTGTGATGTGATTGATATCTATCCATATCCGCTGTTGATTACACTCTGCCATGCCTATGCCTATGTCCTCGACACGTCGGTGGCACGCATGGAAAGAAGGTAAGGTTGCCTATGGTGTTTAGTTTACGGTGAAGTTAGAAGTTGGTTGAAAATTGAAACGATATGATTGAAAGTTTACGTGTGTATGACAGGTTAATGTGATAGGAAAAATTAAAAGTTTGAATATAAACTTTAAATCTAAACACAGCTTATGTACACTTGCTTGCACGGCGAGCGGCCACGCCTAGCATTTGCCTCGCATCGCATGTGCATCGCGCCACATTCCTATGCCCTTGATGACTCAGCCGGGAGCAATAATTTACGCCGGCCTTGTCACGGATTTTAGGCCAAGAATCTTTTGGAGCACGAACCCCTACCGAGATCTAGGTGGTCAGCATATGTGACCAAAGTCTCTGCAGATTAATAGTAGTAATGCCATGTTACAACTTTGATGTTTCATGCTGTCGCTGATCAAGTAGTAAATTAAAGGTTTTAGGCGCACAATTTCACATGATTCTCCGGTAAAATCGGAGCGTTAGGACTTAGGCGTTAGCCATTAGGGCAGTGACAACAATCAGTTAAAAGATCAGACGGTACTTTCTTTACTTTGTTATATGAGGATACACGTGCGAAGTATACCGGACCGGAGGCTCTCTGCTCCAGAGCAGAGGGAAGTGAAAGGTGTAGATATCTGAAAGAGGATTTGCTCAATTGTTCTAGTAGTACAAGATAATTTAGTGTTGTTATCTGAAAAAGATGTGTTCATTGTTGAGAATGGCACAAGAAGTTTATAGATACGACTTGATTGATTAGGTGACGGTGCTTAATTGCCCTGCATGTTGATTTGGGTTCGTTAGTGAAAAGGGCATCACAGAAAGGGTAAATCAACATTATTAGATCCTACGTAGGACGGTAGGAGACCATCATATGAGGATTAAGTAGGAGAACTTTAACAAGCTCGTTATTAATATTTGACGGCGCCCCTTTTGATGAACTTATATCACACCCACGCTACCTATGCATGATCATTGTTTAAAGTTCTAAAGTCACCATTAAACTATACTTAAAGGCAATAGTCCTCGCATGCTCAAGCTACGTACTTGAGTTATTGTTTTCCCTTTTGGAAAAGGGAAGTACCTGAGTTGTTGTATATCACACCTAAACGATCGAACCAAAACCAAAAGTCCATAAGCGTGGTGCTAAGCTAGCAATCAACAACGCACAAGCAAGCATCATCTGTTGAGGTATATACGTTGATTGTGGTCCAAATTATGATGAGCCATCATGTTTTCCAGCTTTCTTTGCTAAGTTTACATGATCGTCATCCAATGTTCTTTTTTTGAACAAAAATGGCTGTACCAGTACCCAAAAAACTGAATTTTCTAATTATTTTCAAAACCCTTTTAATTTTTAATGTTAGATAAACCCTTATATAATTTATTTTTAAAATTTGAACCCTATCATGCCACAACATTTTTAAAATTTTATAATTTTAAACCCTTATAAAATTTGTTTTATCCCGCAACGCTAATTAGACCGGTGTGGCCAAATAACATTGTCACACTAGCCAGACCGGTGAGGTAGTGTTATTTTGCCATGTCAGCAGATTAATTAACAATTTAAAAGATTAAAAAAAAACTAGCCAAGTTAAACAAACACGGACATAAACGTCCATCCAAGCATGGGCCGGCCAGCACTAACACAGATTGACGCGAATTCAGCACGGACACTAACCCTTCTACTTATCGCGAGACGCGAGCTACAGCTCTTCTAGTTATATTCCGTTCCAAACCACAAAACGCTATCCTGACTTCCTGAGACGTCCCAGATGACCCCGACACCGACTACGTACGTGCTACACCCACCATGCACCGGGCCAACAACACACACATCACATCCACTCCCGACCACCGTGGCGGCAGGTGCAGCGCACACAGCGCCGGGGTGCGCATCCCCCCATCCAAACCCAATCCACTCCACTCCAACACCACCACACCAGCAACCGGTTTGGTGTCCCACTCCCACCTCGCACGGGACGGGAGAGAGCCGCCCACCCGCGCGTCGCCACGGCGCGCACGCGACGCCGCCCGTCCGAACCGCGGAAATCCATCGTTTTCTGGCCGTCTTTTTTTCTCCTCTCCCCGGGGGAGAAAAGACGCGGCCGCGGAAAGCGGAGGCAGGCCGAGCCCAGCGAGGCGGTGTCGGGCCATGTTTTGCCCCACGCGCCCGCCCGCCCGCCCGCCGGCCGCGGCCGATCGACCCGACTACCCGAGCGACCGCCCTCTTTTTCCCACCGGGTCGCGCCTAACCGTGGACTGGGACGTCTCACCACATCACATGCCGCGACCCCTGTTCTCTGAGCTGTAAGCCTGTAACTGTACACTTTTCTTTCTCTTCTCTGTACCCGTTTTTTCCAGCTTTCAATCAATGCTTACGATAACCTCGAACGCTGATCATGTTACTGTAACCATTTGTGGAGTTGGCATCGCTGCAATGGTAGGACATGATCCGTTGTTTACGTGCGTTGTAGATTACAGCAGTTCGTCACGTACCATCCAAAATCCAATCCACCACGGGGGTAAAGATGGCCACGAAGCACGGATTCAAAGCAAGAGACCAGAGTAGATGAGCGATGCCGGTTGCTGAGAATCGATCGAGGTGTTTGTTCGGCGACCAGAGCTGCCTTTCCGATGAAGAAAAGGTGGATGGGGTTGGAGGACAGTGGGCAGCGCGCGGGCGCGACACAGCGAGCATATGATTCGCGTTTTCGTTCGGTGCAGATCCACTGAACCAAATATTGAATAATGGAATTCGAAACCAAACTGTAACCTCAAAGCTAGCATGATGCAATGGCGACAGCTGAGTAAGCTGAAGAGGTACACACGTAGGAAAAAAAAGATCTTTATTAGCAGATTCAGAAAATGACAGCTCAAATCGATCGAATGGTACCGTCTTTTTCCCGCCGATTTAATTACAAGGAGATCCTTGGGTGGTTGAAGTAGACGACCTATGAATTGGGGACAATACATTAATAACGACACACTAGCCATTTGTATCTTTAATATATCAATCCATGAACAGGGAAAAGGTACAAGATGCCTGGGTAAACCTTCGACTGTGCTCGAATCTATTTGTCACATTGAGCTTAAAAACCGGTTATTTTCACCTTCAACTTTAAAAACCGGAAAAAATAGCACCCTAAACCATCTTACATGGTAGTTTCTGAACTTGTGATGATGATAGTGGAACTATGAACTTCAATCATGTACTAAATGACATCTACATCATCAACAAAAGCATGTATAACAAAATTAGAGTATAACCTAGAAAAAGAACACCTTAATTTCAAACAAAACATTAAAGAAAATGGTGCAAGATGCTACCTATCCAGTTACGAAGTTAAGGTGCAAAACAACCAGTTTTGTACTTCAGGTTGGAAAATGGACTTCAGGTAAAATTTAAGTGCAAAAATAGACTTAAACTAGCAATAAAAATAGCCCATGTTGAGAAAACTTGTACTTGCCCTTTCCAAGATGCAGTCGACAATATATTAGTAGTACTTGTATTGTCTATGCACAGCCTCCACACCTAACAGCTCAAAAGTACCCGCCCTTAATCTGCCACATCAGGACGAAATCATGCAGATCTGCATCTCTGTACAGAAATTCCATCCTCTCAATTAAAACGCATATGCCCCAAATCGAACAAAAGAAAAAAAAAAAAAGAAAAGAAGAGGGGAGAGGAGAGGGAGCGGCGAATCGAAGCGAAGCAAGCAGCAGCAGCAGCAACTCGCGCTGTTCATTTATTCGCACCAAACCGAAAGGCGAGACGAGGCGAGGCGAGGCGCGGTGGCAGAGGCAGCCAAACCAACTGACGGACGCGAGCGAAGCGAAGAAGTTCTTGAAGTTGAAGCAGCCGCCTCGCTCGCCTCGCGGCCCTCGCTTGCCTAATCAGGAGGGGGGCTATCTCTTTCTCTCTCTTTTTTCCTTTCCTTTCCTGCGTCCTTGGGATCCGCCCGTGCGATCTCGCCGTGGGTGGAGCGCCGCCGTCCATCCGTCCCCATGGATCCCCGCAGTCGCGCGGATCGCGGCGAGTAGGGAGGGAGGAGGGGAGGGGAGGGGGAAGCGGGTTCCGGGAGGAGAGGCGTCCTGCTCGAGCAAGGAGCTTGTGGGGGGAGGTAGATGGACGCGAACGCGGGCTCATTCGTCGCCGTCCGCCGGCTCGCCGGCTCCGAGCGCGCCGCGGGAGCGGCCGCCTTCCACCACTCGTCTTCGGGTACTCTACTACTACTACTACCTCCCTTCTCCGATTTGGCTGTCTCCATGCCCGAATTGTGGCTCGTGGTAGCGCGGAAGCTCACCATGGTTTTGTGCTGCTGCTGCTGCTGTTGCTGCTTCGCGCGCGCTCGTCGGTGCAGCGGAGGTCGTGACGGGGTCGACGGCGTGGATCGGGAAGGGGCTGTCTTGCGTGTGCGCCCAGAGGAGGGACAGCGACGCGCGCCTCTCCTTCGATTTGACGCCAGTTCAGGTGATGATGGCTTTTCCCTTCTGTGTGATTTGATCCCCACAGTTCTGCTTCCATGGTGCTAATAATACTGTGTTGAGTTCTGGGTTCTGTTCACAAATTTTGAAAGTTGCTTCTGGTCATCGCCGAATTCATCTCCGAATTACTATCCTTACTCTGATTCTCGCGTTTTATCAGGCATGTCCTGCCTACATTTTCCATGCTCGCTTAAATGGCTTCAATTCTATTTTTAACATAAGTATTCCAAATATTAGTTTACTGTTCCGTACCATACATGTGCGCCACAAGATAATGAGTTTTTGCATGTGTTAGTTGAAAAAAAAAGTGGAACAGTGGAAGTAACAATTTTCATTTTCTGTCCCAGGAAGAGTGCCTACAGAGGTTACAGAACCGGTTAGAAGTTCAGTATGATAGTTCAAACAGTGATCATCAGGTACTTGTTTTTGGCTGATACACGACACCTAACTGTTGGTACATAGGACTTTTGATGTTCCATATTTTTCTCTTTTGATGAAGCGGGGGTGCCACAACTTTATATTAACGTCCAGAACAAGATATGAGTTGGAAACATTCTCTAAAGTTGAATAACCAGAATTGATTCAACTGAAAAAGTATGATTAAAAAAAAGGTCCGTACATATGTGGAATTTATGAGGAAATATTAGATGTTAGTAACTGAATATATTTGATTTCAGATATTTGTAGAGGCAATAGATTTTCAGGATGTAGACAGTCTTTTGAGGTTACAATGCAACAACTTTGGTCGTTTATTTTGTATTTTTTATTTAGGCCTCTTATTCTCAGTGTGGCTTATCCCTGGAGAACTAAATCCTTAACTCTTTTGTGAAGTTATGCATGGCAATACAGAACTCCAGATCATGTGTGATTCTCCAGTATTGTTCATTTCTTCTTGGAGATGACACTTGAAAAATGTTGGAATAGCTACTCGATGTGACACCTCACATTTCTTCAATCAGGAAGCATTGAAGGACCTCTGGCGTGCTTCTTTTCCTGGAGCTGAGCTTCGGGGACTAATATCAGAACAATGGAAAGAGATGGGCTGGCAAGGGAAAGATCCATCTACAGATTTTAGGTATTGGCTTTTCTCCTTCATTCCACCCTTTTGTCAGTATTTCGTGGCTAAAATAGATAAGAAGAAATGTATTGTCATTACAGAGGTGGAGGCTTCATCTCCTTGGAGAACTTAGTGTACTTCTCCAAGAACTTCCCAGTAAGTTTGAATCCTTGATTCCAAAGATACTTGTACCAGCACTGATGATGACTAACGAGTTGAGATTCTTATGTACCCCAGTACTTATGTTTCAGTATAACAGCTATAATCTACTAGATCCGTTTCTGGTTATAGAGCATTTAATGCTTACCTGAAATTAATTTTCACCATTTCTGGCTGTACAGAATCTCCTTACTATGAAAAAGAAATGAGGACCGTTTCATGCATCTGGTTGGCCAAACATAAATAATCCACAGTACATCCGACAAAACAGAGTGCTGAAAATGGTTCTGTTAAATACTTCCTCTGACCCAAAATAAGTAACCACCTTACCACTTATTGTCTAAATTATGAGGGGAGGTAAATGACTTAGATGCCCCTTATTAATTGAGGGATGTATGTGCGTGAGAGGGTAGTTGGGGGTAAAATGGGAAGAAATTTGAATTAGAAGTAATTAATGACATAAGTGGTACTCCAAAGTGATCACTTAATTTGGGACAAATTTTGAATCCAAAGTGGTCATTTATTTTGGGATGGAGAGAGTAGTATATATCGGGTGATATTAAATGTTATTCATACCTTCAGGTTTATTACTACTCAGAGTTACCCCATTAACCAATTTACCTTTCCATGCAGAAATCTTTTCAGGAACTTCTTCGGAAGCAGAATGGTGACCGTGCAATTTGGGAGTATCCATTTGCTGTGGCTGGTGTAAATATAACATTCATGCTCATCCAGATGCTTGATCTTCAATCAGGTTTGTTGACCAAAAGTTCTTTGCTTATCAGCTATTGGATGATTGGATCTATTTATTAGACAATACTAGTTCCTGCAGAGTTGTTGAAACGTGCTAGAAATTCATGTTGAATTGACACTTCACTTCGATTTCCTCTGCAGTTAAACCAAGGTCGTTCATCGGAGCAGTTTTTCTAAAGCTACTTTCTGGTAAAGCCTATGTTTCATAATCCCTTAGGATCTACAGGAGATGCTTATTGTTTGTTTCTTTTTTGAACCTAAACTGAGTCATGCATTTGTTCCTTTGCACTCCATTAGTGACCTGTGATCAGGCTTTAGGGTGTATGATTGTACAGATGTTGCAGCTACAAGAATTTGTGTTTCAGTATATTTTTGTTATATAAACCAGCTCTATTGATTTTGCAAATAGATGACTATTGTGTTATGACTATTGATAGTCTACGTTTGCTAAATTCACTTTAATGGTCTAAGGTATACCACACTAGTCATACTTCTTGAAACAGACAACATATATTAGATTGGTGAAGGATTTAGTAATAATTCCCTGAATATTTGTTTCATATTATAGTGCTACTAAAATTGATTCCAAATTATAGTGCTCCTAAAATCTATTTCAGTATAGTGTTCCTAAAATTGATTTCACCAATTTTTGGTCCAGAAAATGATCAGGCTTTTGACATTCTCTACTGCATAACCTTCAAGTTGATGGATCAGCAATGGCTTGACATGCATGCCACTTACATGGACTTCAATGTACGTTGTCTTTCTATCCCAATTCTAGTAGCGTCACACCCTCACCCCTATTGACCCCCTTTTTTTTGTACGAAAATCTTCAGAGACAGACAATGGTTGATGAAATCACCCATCCGTCTTGACTTAAATTGTGCTACTAAAATTGCAGACGGTCATGAAGTCCACACGACGTCAGCTAGAAAGGGAGCTCTTGCTTGAAGATATTCAGCGGATTGAGGACATGCCATCATACAAGCTTTTGGCCCGCTAGCTAGTAACTGAACCATAACATGGCTACGTGCTGCAAGGCTTGAGTTGCATAAGGGTTGCAACTAGTGCCCACAAACAGTGTGAATTCCAAAACGCAGATGCACTTGTTTCCTCTCAAGTTTAGGTACTCTGTTAACCTGTCTCCAAATTACAAGATAGAGGTCTCTTGGTCATAGCACGCCACGTAGGGTAACTGAAGTGTCCGATCAGCTGCCAGGGCAGAGTGTTTGTAGGTTGGGTGTTTTGTTGCAGTTTGGTTGATGCCCGTCATACCACGAAATGAAGTGCTTCTAGGTTTTCCTTTTTCCTTTATAAACAAGAGGCTCTTGTGAAAGCTAATCTGAGTGTCTTCTGTAGTGTACCATATTTGCATAATTGATAGTGTTCAGTTCTCCGAGTGTGCAGAAATCATGCTAGCTGTTTCTGCTAGCTCCGCAATGATGCAAATCTGTTGTTTCCTTAGTTGTCCTGGGGCATGAAGTTTGTTCCTATATAGTGCAGACCATTTTTGTGGTACAGCACGCCTTTCTTGATTGAATGGATTCTGAGTGCTCATTTGCTGCTTGCTACTGCTGGATTGAACTGCTCTCCTCAAACAAATGAATGCAGAGCGAAAAGATAAAAGATAAGGGATTCCAACAACAGGAAGTGGACAAACCATACTAATCAACGAAGAACAAACTTGATATGTGACTTAATTCTGTTCTCAGGGGTCAGGATATGATATCATATGACCCTGCATAAAGCTGGAGCGTGCCTGTGCTTCCTAGGGGTGGTGGTGCTTGCCTCTGCTGCCGGGCTCAGCCGTTCAGGACTTCAGGGGTGGCTACTCTTTGGTCGGTCCAGACTCCAGACACTGCAGGTAAAGCAACAGGTCCCCCAGCATCCATGTAATTGTTGTAGCATAATGTATGAGCGACAGAATGCGTATACACTAAAGCTGGCAGCTGCTAATACTAGCTCATCGTTAAAAAAAAAACACTCTGAAAATGACTTAAAGAAGCCGTATCTGTTGTCTGGATGTTGCGTTTTTCTACTAAACAAAATGCATAGTTAGAAGAGGAACGCTATAAAGAAAACTGAACCCTCGATGGAAGAAAAAGAAACACAGAAGTGATGATCAAGCAGCTTATAGTTGCACTGGTAACCGTAAACGCGCTACTAGTAGCTTTGTGCCGGCTATGCTTCTACGATTCTTCCAACCAAACCTCATACGAGCAGTTAACTAATTCCTAGCCTGGATATTCGGTTCGCTGTAGATAATCCGGGAACATGTTCTGCAAAAACGAGGACTTGATCCAGAATAGCTCCAACAGTTACGACAGTTTCCATGCATTCTTGTTAGCCATTCCAATTTCCAAGAGATTTTTTTTAGGACTTCCAAGCAAAAAAAGATCACTTCTTTGGCACTCATATGCCCTACAGTACAGGCAAAATTCACGATGTAACCTCCGTCAAACAACGATATCCAAATATGCATAATGTCTAATGAGGCTGAATAATTTTTGCTTACAATGTCCAAACAAGCTTCGATAAAATTTCAAAGAAACAAAACAATCTTAAAATTTTAAAATTCTCTCCCCTATGGGGATCAAAGAAAGCCGGCCGGCCGGCCGGTAGTGGTGCTCTCTGTCGTGTGCCATCTTATGGTGGATTTGACATGTGTGCAGTCGCGAAAGATCGCAAGAGATCTGGTCGCCTCCGTTCGTCGCCGGGAGCCATCGATGGCACGAAAGGCATCATCATGGCGAGGAATCTCTGGCGAGCGTTAGATTTCTGCCGTCTCCTCCTCAGCTGATCTCTGGTAGTGATACCGTTTGCCTCAAATAATCGATCGATTTTTTGAGTCTTACCAACCCTACAACGTTGAAAGAGCTGGGCCCATTGTCCTACCTCAGCTACCAGTAACTATACACAACAAATGTTCATGTCTCGTGATGTCGATATGTACAGAACTAGAGAAATGATATTAGCTGGCCGTGTGCATTTACATTAGTCCAGCATGGGCCAATTTACTGTAGCAAACTAGCTCTAGCTAGCTAGCTGGGCTCGAACTATTTAGCTAAGCAGAAAGCTTCTTTTTTACACTTAAAGATGTACTTACTTTTCATTCTTGTGGTAATCAGTTGAAGTAAGGTGTGCGTGTCTGTGAGTTGAGATGCTACAAAGCTGCGTGATCACTTGCTGCAAACTTGCCACTCTAGGTCATTGAGCACCCAGCTCACTCAAACCATGTTCCAATAATTTTCCACCTAAACGTTGATATAATCCCCTCAAAAATAAACTTTGATATAATCCGTGCACGCACTCCGAGTTATTTTTGTGAAGCAAATGAACTAGCTTGTGGAGCTCCTCTCCTCCTATGCAGGGAGCTCTATAAGCAAGGTGAAGCACCGTGGAGGTGACGATTGATCAGCTATGAAAGACTTGAGCTGTCAAGATGACACCACGCGCCCAGTTCCGGGTTATCCTTGGGCAAGTTCGGTAAGGAGGCTGGTGGACAGCAGGACGGAGGAGGCCTCAGCCAACACGTGGGGAATTTGCAGCGGGATAGAGGGTTAATTTTGGCGACGAGGTGCAGTGGAGGTCCTGCTGGTGACAGGATTAAAAGTGGGCCGACAGAGAGACGTTGGTCCGATGTGGCATAGGCCGCGTGCAGCCAACGTTTGGATGGTGGTAACTAAGATGGTGGGTGACAAACCATATGTAGATAGGGTTACAGCGGTTCTAGGCGAAAGCCTAGCCCAGCCATTCACTAGGACGACAGTGAATATACCCTCGGGTGTTATAACCCCTCTGGAGATGCTATCGAGGTATCTCCTTCCTCACCTTTCTTGACGAGAATCTTCGGGTAAAAACCACATCTAAGTTTCTTAGACGGGTGACAACGACGTCCTTAGCATCACAACCTCCGTGGAAGCATCATTTTGAAGACTCGGCTCTGTGGTTGTCTGAACCTAAACTCCAATAGCAGGGAGTCATGTAGCCCCCCCTTTTGGATTTGGCCAAGGAGCAAATGGCGGATGCTAAATTTGGGCCGCGCGAGACAAAGTGAGGCAAAATGATTATACAGGTTTGAGCCGCTCAGAGGCGTAACACCCTACTCCTATTGAGTTTGTTTTTTTAGAAACACAGTACAAACGCAGGTGCTCACAACGCGCACACACACCCTACCCCTATGAGCACCTCCGGAAAACTGGGTCGGCATGTCTTGAGATTGACGAAGTCACCACAGGCGCCTCGCTGTCGACGGGTACGTCGCCTACCACTGAAAGAATAATTAGCCGTAAAAGCGAGCACCCATGTCAAATCTATGATTTGAACCTGGGTGGGTTGGTTCCACCACAAGGAACCAAACCAGTTGAGCTACACTCACTTTGCCCTATTGAATTTATTTCGTTGCTTGGGGTTCAAATCTTAAAGGAAAGAGACTTAGCAAACTAGGGCTACTTTGGTTTGATCCCCTACTTCTGTGATCTTGGTCCTCCCTTTATAGTCTAATCCACAATTGCTAGTCACTTACAAGTGAGTCCCATATACACAGGAGTTAGGTAGGGTTAGTCGTATCACGTGCTGACAGGTGGGGCCTTCTATTTTCAGTGTCCCGTCGGAGGAGCTGGCATGATAGTGGACAATTGCCTTCTAGCTCACTGCACCCTCAGCGCCGATGCTGTGGATGACATGACATGCCATGCATGGCCCGAGTTTGGTGACGAGACTGTGGATGACACCTACCAAGCTCACTTCTCGCTTTGATAGACATGCGCGCCAAGTCATGGTATGGCTAGCCAATCGATGGGTTAAGGACCCACGTCTCCTAACAGTCCACACCCCCGGATTTTTAGGAGTGATGATATGTCGCCCGTCACCTGCCACGTGCGACCGCCGGATTTGTATTCGGCGCATTGATTAATAATGCAAGATCGGGCAGACGATGTGCAGGAATGATGAGTCAAGTCCAGTCATATTAATGGCACCCTAAGTCCTTGAGCAGCCCATGGATGGTCAAGCTCAGGGCATGCTCCGTGCTCAAGCTCTGCTTCGTGCTTGGGGAACCTCTGTGTTCGGGGCCTGCTCTTCGCATGCGTCCTGAGCACGGGGCGCAACTAGCCAAACCATGGGGGCCAGGTCCTTGGCTCCACTCGCGGTTGATACTGTTGAGCGATCTTGGAGGCCCTTGGTGCCCTGAGCAACTGGAGGTGGGGACTCGGGTTTCCACTTTTTCATCATTGGTGTTATTGTAGGCCCGATGACAATTGGCCATGCACTACGGTGCCGGTTTGGTGCTAAGCCATTCTTAGTGATATGTGTTTGTATGGTTAGCTGTGGTTATTGGTCATGTGTGCTTCAGTATACAACAAATCTTGAAAGCCTTCTGTTGACAATAGTGTTTTTGGTAACTTTTTCCCCCTCAAACTCAATAATATTTGAATGTCCTCTTCTTGGGTCATCCCGGTAAAAAATAAATTATTCGCAAGTAGAGTACGAAAGGGAAAAGTCTTTTGTCTCTAGAGGGGGTGTTTCCATTTCTTACATGTCATTTAAACAATTATATTTTTTAAAAAATAAAAAGATACATTAATACGTGATATATCATTATACATAGGCATGTAAATTCAAATTTAACCTCTACGATTGTAAAAAAGGTTTTCTAACATGGCTCTAAATACATGCTGTGTAGGAGTTAGAGTTTATTTTTCTTACAACATGTGAAAGTAAACTCTAAATTGTTGGTTATAAAATAATATATCATATATTAATCCATCTTCTCATTTTTTATGTCAAAGAAATAAGGATATCTATCCTGTCTACGAAGAATAGGCCCAATGTACACATCACCAAATGAATCTGCCCCAGCAGAGCGACCTACTACTTGTGTGTGCGTATGTGTGCAACTGCTCACGTGTCTGCTACGTAGTAGTACAAGCAACATTAATTTCCAACCCGTATTCCCGGTCGGTGCGTGCACGTCAAAAGAGAATCACAGGTACACACCTCCGAGAGAGAGACCTGGTATCTGGCCGATCGAGCAGCAGATTCGATCGTCCATGTCATTTAATTTGACTCGGAATCGGATCGAAACGAAACGAGAAGCAGGTGCAGGTGCCGAGATGACACACATCCACGCGCGCGGGCACATGCGCACCGCACGGGCTCGTTTCCTCGCGGAAATGATGCGGTTTTCCTCTCTCCGCGTCGGTCTGATCAGGCGGCAGCGATACGGGGCTAAGGGCCGGGGTGTGAGCGCGCGCGCCGAAAGCCTGTTGCCACTCTGCACTGCATGCCGCGCGCGGCACCGCGTCAGTTCAGGGTTTGTGCTTAACCGCGTGCTGGTCCTCCACGGGAGAAAAAGTTTACGGGTTCGGCAGGGGTTTCAACCATCGATCGCCGCGTGCCTTGTTGCCGGGGACCTGTACATGGCGAACCGCGCGGCGACTCGATCGATCGTGCAACGCATCCAGCCGTATTGATGTATTGTATCGTGTCACAACGACACGAGCCCGCGCGCAGAATCG